CACGCTGGAAACTATCGTAAATCAGAACGACCATTGTTCAGCAAGAAAGGCACAGATGTAGTGGTTTATTTTTATGAAGAGAACATGATTGATGCAATGGAAACACTTATTATTATAACCAGCTTTACCAGCGATTGTTTTACTGTACCTCTTTTCTAACTGTACTAAAAACACACATCTTCCTATTATTGTGACCCTGGGCTTGCTCAGGCTTACTCGGTAATCTCGTCTGTAAATTTTGGCCCGGTCTTGATATTATTTTGATACCACAAGATCGCCAACTCCAATCACAGCTTCAAGATATACAAGCTGAATTTCGTAAGGATCGGTCGTGTACCAACCGAATTGCAACATTATGGATCTTTGTGGAACAATCAATTGAACAGACTATCTAGACTTTGCAGGTGATCTGGTTCTTCCATCTTACACGCAACAACAAATACAGGAGAACACGACTAATGTAACAGCAGCAGCAAGCCTCAACATACATAAAGGGAAAAGCAATGTTCTCAGATACAATACAACGTGCACCAACCAAATTACACTTAATGGTTATACCTTGGAGGATGTAGAAACCTCTACCTATCTGGGTAATATCATTGACGAGAAAGATGGATCTGATGCAGATGTGAAGACGAGGATCGGCAAAGTAAGTGTTGCATTTCTACAATTGAACAACATCTGGAACTCCAAACGACTATCAACCAACACCAAAGTCAGGATTTTCAATACAAATGTTAAGACAGTTCTACTGTATGGGGCGGAAACTTGGAGAAGTACAAACGCCATTACCCAGAAGATGCAAGTATTCACTAACAGTTGTCTACTCAAAGTACTTCGGATTCGTTAGTCAGACACCATCCTTGACAAACTGCTGTGGGACAGAACAAACAAGACTCGAGTGGAGGAGGAAATCAGGAAGAAGCGGTGGAAGTGGATAGGAAATACATCGAAGAAAGCACCCAACTGCATGACAAGGCAAGCCCTCACATAGAACCGTTGCGGTCAAAGGAAAAGAGGGAAGCCAAGGAACACATTACGCCAAGAAATGGAGACAGACATGAGAAGAATGAACAGAAATTGGAGAGAACTGGAAAGAGAGGCTCAAGACAGAGTAGATTGGAGAAAAATGATCGGTGGTCTATGCTCCAATGGGCTTAAAGACGTAAGCAAGTAAGTAACGTTAGCAGATTACTTATTATGTAAGTGCACCGATTTGGATGGATGTATTCACTGTACTGTATCGTATCTGCTTAGAGGCTTCATAAAAATTTTTAACTGGATTTATTAGGTTTATTTATTTATCGACTTTTATTCATATTGTTTTCACCGCAATTGTTATTTCCGTTGAGAAGTAACAATATATCTTTAAAAGAAAAGAAAATTCAAAAATAGTAGTAAAGGTTTATGCAGTTGTCCATGAAAGTTTAGCGTTCTGCGGTTGAGATACGTTCAAAAGATAACCTAGCAAAAATTTGGAGCACGCAAGATTGATTTCGATTGGATTTACGTTAATAGATGATGATTCAAAAGTTTTACTTGATTCGACATTTATAATTTCATTACGCAAAGCCTTTGCATGAGTGTCAGTTTTTGAGTTTGCTTCTTACAAAATTTTCTGTAGTCCAGGTTTCTTTGTGTCCTTCAGGGATACATTTATTTCATTAATGCAGAGTCATCAACTCGATACTTCTGTACGAATTGCTGGCAAAATGGTTTCAAAGGTAGTTGTTTGAGGTAGACTATAAGCTGAGTACTCCAGTAAAGATCTATCACACACATATATAGAGTATCACATTCAAGGGGTGTCTATAGTAAGCCAAACCAATAGGGTCTGAAGCTTCAGACAGCAAGGATAATAAATGTTAATCAGAAAATAAAATGTTGAACACCCGTGGCATCTGTTATAAATGATGATTTCTTTGTACACTACTATTATTCCACTTCCGGTTTAAACTCCAAATATGATACGTTCGTTTGCGCTCACAGAGTTCTTCTTGAATTCTATGCCGGTCCATACGTAACTACTAGATAAACGGAATATAGCTTCTCCTGATTATCACAATACCTCGACCTTAAACTACGGAGGCTATTTTGTTGCTGCTCTGATCAACGCTTATAAATCTCAGATTCCGTATCTGCTAAGACATGAGGGCCTTGAGTTAAGGACTAAATTTGAGTTACCGTGAAAAAGCCCAATGAATCTTCAGGTATTATTGGGGAGAGAAATTCAAATCACTGCCTCAGTCGATGCGAATACTTCGACATTTAAAAACCTCATAATAGAAACAACCATACATAGGGTTTTCGGTTCAATAAACCATTTTGAGAGATTAGTAGGTATTTGTTTAGTGGCCTAAATATAACATTTTATGACCGATAGTGCAAATCCTATACTTTGCGAAAGTCTGAAAATATTTACATTATAACATGCAAAGATATGTTGGTTCACGATTGCATACTTAGTAAATAGAATATATAGAGCCTTTTAACCTAGCAACATATAATGACGTAGTGGGAGTAAATAATTTCTCTAGATCACCAATTTATTCAGCGTCTATTATTTATGATGACCCAAATAATGAAGCAAAGTCAGGCGTGTAGCTTTAGAAAATTCCAAAATTAAACAGTTCTCTATGTCTTTGACATTGATGCTGATCTCACTAGTTTAACCGTTAGGTAGTCAGCGACCTGACTCCAGTTCAGATGATAGTGCCTTCAAATCACGTTCAGCTAACCTTTTTGGTAGTTGGTGATCTGATTTATATGTAACAAGCTATAAACGAACCATGAACATAAATCTTCCGTTTAAATTTGTTTAATCCATCGTGGTTAACCCCGTTCGAGCAATGGAAGTGGTGAAAAACCAAGTAAGAATTATGCTGAGTGAACTAATTTGATGCATTTCTTTATGCAGATAAACGTTAGGATAAGAACTCTCGACGACAGAAAATTTCGAATCTGTTCGTTCGATAACTTGTTTACCAGTTATGTCATAGGTAGGTGCATCTAGCAATAGTTCAGCCTTACACTCCTGTCAATTATTCATACTACCTACTAAGTGTATTTATTCTGGCAAGTCACCTAATTGTGATCGTATAATCCAGGCTTAGCATTAACCAGGAGAAGTGACTTCGCACCATATAGGAGTAGGCCCTTACCCACCGGCAGAAGTTACCCACGGTGGTGATATACAGACTCTTCCATCGGCACGCCGTAACTGTGGGTATGACCGAATTTTGTACACCACTGATTTGATGATGAATGAATGATGATGAATTTTCACCGACTTTGGCGCTGAAATGATCGTCCTTTTCGTGGATAGTAACGATCGTAAATAGGATCACATCTCAGTTTACCGATGGTAAACGGAAAAATGAACACTAGTTATTGTAAAAGGTACCTTTGTTGTAAGGTCGGTTTGCTCAAACCCTTTCATCTGACTCTCATTATGGCAAACATGTCAATGCTAATCATCAATTTAAACCTACTATCTGTTCTTGAAGTTTGATCCCCTACTTTTTGGTTATACCTCACCACGATTAGGCACACAATAGATCCATGCTTCCGTTTGACACTAGAAAATTATCTTCAACTGCTCAAAATATGATCACGATTATCACGTATAACCAGCAACTTTACATATCACATCCGCATTCTCGAAAGCTTACTGACAGGCCCCTTAAAGGCCGAAATAGGCCAAGCACGAATTTGACCATACAACAAAACAGGAGATTATCCCCTTGTATACGGTTCCTAAAGATGATAGCAATGCTTGGCGTCTAACCGGTGACTATCAGCGACTGAATACGAAGACTTCACTTGATTGTCACCGGTGGCCATACATGTAAGACTTGACAAATATTTTGGGAATTACAACTGTCATTTTGCAGATTTAGCTAGCTAAGGCGTATTATTAGATTCTAATGATTGTCGAAAAAAATTCCTAGTACACCTGTAATCAGTTCTTTAGAATTTTCGCCTTCTGTTCGAAGAAATGCTGATCAAACTTTAAGACATTCACCGATGGCACTTTTAGAAATCTCAAATTATTTCGTGCTTATGCTGATGACTGTCTAACCGAAAGTCTGAACACAGAATCTCATCTCCTGTGTCTGTACCCTGGTTTTTGACTACTTCAAAAACATGGAATCAATGTAAACTCAGGATTATCAAATCATGCTCAGCTCGTTCGATTTTCGATCAAACTCTACGTACTGTCTCAACTACTTATCGTTTCACAAGATCGCTTGAAGCAGCACATGTCAGGGATATTACTGCTGAAAAGGTGGCTTACGCCTCCATCGAACGATGGGATGTAAACATAGCTTTCCCTCCAACTGTTGCTGCAGACTGTGCACGTTATTACTAATCTGGACTTTTATAATATCTAACCACATCTCCAAGTCGAACGATTCCGAAGGGCAACGTACCCTTCATAAGTTAACGGTTCGGTAGTACGATTCCACAGGTGGCTGAAAGCCTGGTCTTCATCTGGAAACGTATTACAGTGGACTGAGATACTTCCTCCCGTCTTGCTTGGAATCCGCAATGTACTGAGAGCTGACACTGGCTGCATTGCCGCCAAAATAGCTTTTGGTACTACACTTTGAGTCCCAATTGATTTCGTAATTCTGATATCTGCCTCAGCAAATGTTCACCTAAACTCCCACGCGAACACGAATATAAACTGAATGCGTTTACTTACATCTGTTTCTACTCAACATCAAGCAACAACACGCCTTGCGACTTAGTACATACGTTTTTAACGCTTCCCATACTGTCACGAAATAGCTATCCATTGCTCCTAATTTTTTGCTGGTAGTGGAAATAAAATCGATTCGTTATTATGGCTTTGAAAATAAAAATAAAACATTTGGATTTGAAAACGAACAATCTGTTTTTAATTGATAGAAAAAAGCGATTTGTTCAAGAAGATCTTGGTATCGAATTTAGTGCACACACCATTCTTTGTCATTAAGTATTGTTTATATCAGCTAATCGGTTAAACTGGTCACTTTGACCGTCTATTTGGTTTTAATTTCTTGGGCTCGTGATACTTTTTGTTGCACTAATGTCTGGTGGACAAAAATTATTAAGGGAGTTCAGCGGAATCGATAAGATCTATGTTGTTAAGCGAGGTAATGTCTTTTAAAGTATTTCCCATGTACACAGATGGAAGAAACGAAGCAATTCACTGCGAAAAAATCGCGAAGCGTATACGCGCTCTGTGCTATGGTCTGAACGAGTCGTATATAGACGTGGTAAGTGTATTACTCTGCTGCGACACAGTACCTCACATGTAGCTGAATAATGTCCATCGCCCTGGAGATGTGTTAACTAATATCTGTATAGGGGTTTCTCATGCTTGTTGGGTGTTACTGAGATTACAAAACTTATGATAACCAACCTATCTGAAATCCCGTAGAGTTTTTTGTCTTTTTCAACTGACGGTGCAGTTTTGGAGATCTCATCTTGTAGAGTTAATGAGTTATTTAGAACGGAAATGTTAACGAAATGCTGGGAAGACCGTAGATAATTTGTCGCAATGTTAAAGCTAGTCCCAGTAATTTTATAACACGAATATTTTTCAGGTATTGTCTAAAATGTTACTGTTTTTCTACTCCGAAGTCAAATACATTGATCTATTAGTAAATGGTCTTGTTTTTTAATTTAAGGTTCAAAGATACAGTCCCGAGACCTATAAAAGAGCCTTACAACTTGAACACATGAGCACGTAGTATGTCGTGTTTGTTTGATTGCCAAGCTAAATGTTATTTGAACGTATTAAGAAATAAGCTGAATGTTGACAAATACAGTTTTTTATCTCCGTTTCTGGATTTTCAGCAAACATTATCTGTTCCTCAAAGTCAAGTACGTTAGTTATTCAAGTTGCTAAGGCAGTCGAGCGAGACTGGCCTTATTGGGTGAGGTGGCTTAAAGGCTATGTAGTGTAAACTATATATTAACGTCCAGCAGTTTTGAACCAGGGTTTGTTAAGTTTGTTTATCATTCCACTTCAGTACTGGTTCGCATTTTGGGCTGCGGAAACGCGACTCCATATAGTCGGGGTCTTGAAATTATGTAGTAAATATGTGATAAAGTCATCTACTGCCGTAAGTAGTTTGGCTGTACCTAAACCTCTCCGTAGGCATTACCTCTTCACTGTTTATTCGCTTTCACATCATAGTGTTAATTCGTTGTTGTCTATTAGAGGTAAGATTTGTAGCTTGTACAAACTGGTGATTCTGAGGTATGTATTAAGTGGTAAAAGCTTCTAAAAATGTTTGACTAGCTTCCGGTCAATCAACTACTCTGCTAGTTGCAGTTTCTTAATTATTACTCATCAGATGTGGTTTTATTGTCTCTGAACACTACTAGTCTTTTCAGAGTAACAACGCTTTTCCTGGTAATTTTAGCCAAGAGTTATTTTATAGATAATAGTGTCTTTGATCCTGTTTATTCATCACCCCGACAGGAGGCAGTAACAAAACGTGTAGTGTCTGGCTTGTATCCTGGAGTGACAACTGTGGAATTGGATAATCTGGCAGCCGAGACATGCGCAAGCATGATTACGAAACATCATGAATATGCCATTCTAGCTGCTCGTCTTGCCGTTTCAAATCTGCACAAAGAAACAAAATCTAGATTTTCAGATGTTATCGATGATCTATTCGGTTACATTAATCCTCGAACCAAAAAGCATTCCCCTTTAGTCTCAAAAAGCCTTCGTGATTTTGTTAGGGAAAATGCTGAACGACTGAACAATGTCATCGACTACCAGCGAGATTACACGTACAATTACTTTGGATTTAAGGTGAGCTGTTGATTGTAGTTTTTCTCAAAATATCTGGTGATTCATGGATTGCTGGGCACAATCTTTAAGAGGCATTTCATATTTCGCATTTTGACTAATAGTTAGAAAATAATTTAGTTGTTACAAACGAATTATATCTGAAATGTTGGTATAATTGTGAACTAAGTTTCGTGGGTTTCTAGTTTCAAAACATAACGAATGTATTTACTGAGACCATTTTTAGAGTAAGGGGTGTCTATGGTGTGCCTTTTTTGTCATTTCCCAATAATTACTAGTTCTTCACCAAATGTATGGTAATCTGTACACTTTGGATACTTCTATCAAATGGCTGAGTCATAATATTTGTTAATAAGATATTTCCATTTGGTCAGCTTTTTATGTATCTTCATAGATGATCACTAGGATTAACTGCTTCCATGAGTCTACAGAATTAGTCTGTTTTATAATTTTAGACTACCTAATTATACAAACGTTAATAGCAGTGAACTGGTTAAGATCATATCACATGTGGCTTCTAACCTTGACAGCTTTTGTCTAATGTTATACATCTAGCTAAAATAAAGCAGCTTTTGGTTTGTATTGTATGATGGGCGTATAAGTTCGAACTTTGGAGATGAATGCTTACAATAACCTCTTCGATCTATAAATCTACAGTTGCAGTTCTCTTGATGACCTAGCAACTCATTTGGAAAGTCCGTCCTACATCATTTCCGTTCATTGAAGTTGTTCATTCTGTAACGTAAATATGCCCATCATATTACGTAATGTGATGTTCGTTCAAATTTTTACAAATATTTATAAGGAATAATCTTTTTTCAGACTTTAGAGAGGTCGTACCTATTAAAAATAAATGGAAAGGTTCATGAGCGCCCACAGCATATGCTAATGCGGGTATCACTTGGGATACATAAGTCAGATATTGACAGTGCGATTGAGGTAAGTTAATGTATACTAATTTCCGAATTTCTAGACGTATAACCTCATGTCTGAAAAGTGGTTTACACATGCTTCCCCTACTCTATTTAACTCTGGAACACCCAAGCCACAGCTTTCGAGTTGTTTCCTTATTACTATGAAAGATGATAGTATAGAAGGCATTTACGATACACTGAAAGAATGTGCAATTATATCTAAAAATGCTGGAGGTATTGGTATAAATGTTCATAACATTCGAAGTCTTGGGACTTACATAGCTGGAACCAATGGGGAATCAAACGGTCTTGGTAAGCTTTTCCCATTAAAAAAGATTTACGGAATTTTTCTTATAAATACTATTAATAAATCCTTTTCTTGTATTTTCAATTGTTTTGTTTAGTCCCGATGTTGCGCGTATTTAACAGCACTGCACGATATGTTGATCAGGGAGGTAATAAGCGCCCGGGAGCCTTTGCCGTATACTTGGAACCTTGGCACCCGGATGTTTTTCAGTTCATAGAAATGCGGAAAAATACTGGCGCGGAGGAGATTCGTGCACGGGACTTGTTCTTTGCACTGTGGATACCTGATTTGTTTATGCGCCGGGTTGAATCTAATGATAAATGGACATTAATGGATCCTCATGAGTGTCCAGGTTTGCCCGAACAATGGGGTGAAAATTTCGAAACTTTGTATGAAAAGTATGAACGTGAAGGTCGCGGCAGACAAACAGTTAAAGCTCAAGAGCTATGGTAAGCAAATGAATTGCAGTTCGGGTTACTATGTATATGCAGTAGTGTTTCTTCTAATAAGGTGTACATAATTTTGCAGATTATCAGATTGAGAAAGGATCTGAAATCTAATAGAAGTAAGCCTGTGTGACAATAGTAACCGATGGTTAGAGACCTTGAACGACATGGCTCGAAATCGTTTGGAATGGCGCAAGTGCATCCACTCTCTGTGTTCTCTCAAATTCTAACCTTCTTAATTAATCATCTCTGTCTCTCTCTTTCTAAATTTATCTCACTGAATTATACTTCTTGAATCATGTCTTCGAACCCTAATCTTCTCCATTACTGCTAATACTTCTACTATTGCTACCATTGTGAGATGTGGACTGACTATTGCGTCTCTGTGCTAATGCGGTATGGCAACCTGAACTGACTACTTACGTACAAAGTTCTGCGTTGTATCTCTCTGCCTGTCTGATATGCCAAGCGAAATTCAAGATGTGAGTCTTGATGCGTAGTTTTAGGGCGACTGGCGAACCATAGTATTATTGAAGTACTTAACATCACTAATTTATGAGTGCTCACAAATTTATTCTTTGTATCTTTGATAGTATGATTATCACGCTCTATTTTTTTTACTAAAACATAATTATTAGTATAAAGAGGTACCGAAATATTTATGTGCCACACATCATGAATTTCGTAAGTGGGCTGGACAACTGCTCAGATGCTTAAAACAAAGCAGGTGACTTTCTCCTCGAGCTGGTGATTAATAAGAGGTCCATATGCTGTTTGTCCCCTTAGGATCCTGGAACTCATGTTCACCACTGTTTTGGAATCAGGGTTTTACGACTACCCTAGGTGGACCCTTCGTACCCACCGACCAGATTTGGGCGTCAGATATTCGCCTTTTGTCCTCTCAGTTTTTTAAATAATATCCCTGTCACTAGAAGACAGAGTAGAACTTACTTGGCGTCTCCATGTGATAGTATTTTAAGAGGGAGAGCAGACCCTCTATTCTCTGTCGTATCAGGGCATTTGGAGGCGAAATATGTTTCCATTCAGGCATTTGACATTAATTCTGTCTGATTACATCAAATGCTTCTTTCTCATATAACATATGAATATACATACTTTATATTCTTAACAGGTATGCTATTATTGAATGCCAGATTGAAACAGGCAACCCGTTCATGTTGTACAAGGATTCATGCAATCGTAAATCAAATCACCAACATCTAGGCACAATTCGTTGTAGCAACCTATGTACGGAGATAGTTGAGTATTCTTCACCAGACGAAACAGCTGTCTGTAATTTGGCTTCTATTTCGTTGGGAAAATTCGTTGACCGAAATAGTCGTACTTTTGATTTCGCCAAGCTACAAGAAGTTACGAAAGTCGTAACTAGAAATTTAAACAAGGTTATTGATGTTGGATTTTACCCAGTTGAAGAGGTAAGGTTATTCGTAAAAACACTTCAGTCTGACTACTAAAACTACTACAGGTTTACACATCTTGTTATCAAATTACAATTTTTGTTTGTAGGCTCGCAGATCAAACATGCGTCACCGACCGATTGGTATCGGGGTCCAGGGCTTGGCAGATGCATTTTGTCTTTTGAGGTACCCTTATGATAGTCCAGAAGCAGCAGACCTTAATAAACGTATATTTGAAACAATGTACTTTGCATCTCTGGATGCATCATGCGAGCTAGCGGTTGACCAAGGAACATACGAATCATATGAAGGTTCTCCTGTTAGTAAGGGTATACTTCAACCTGATATGTGGGATGTAAATACAGAGGAGCTTTCCAAAGTATCTGGTTTAGATTGGAGTGGATTACGTGCTCGAATAAAAAAGTAGGTACTACAAATTTTTATGTTGTTTTTCGACCTTCATTGCATACATAAATAAAGGCGGGAGCCAGTATTGGTAGATTTTTATCATGAGTTGCTTTCGTATTACTGTAGGTTGGTAAACTTTCGTCTCTCTCACATATGCTTAATATCAATAGTAATTGATCCAGTAGTCACGTACCAAGGCAAATCACTAGCTCTAAGTAAATATTGCTGTCACAGTGATTAGACTACTCAGTTATTGACCAATTGGTCTCAGGTTTCATACTTCTTTTCACCTACTTTGATTCGGAGAGCTAGATAAACCACTAGATGATAGCACACCCGAACTGTTCAAAGCTGACTACATAAAATTGTTCTCAGAAAAATGCTACATAATTATTACGATCTAATGTGATCAGATAAATTACTACTTGACACATAAACACTGTTAAAAAGAGGCACTTAAATATTTATTTGCCACACAAATGAATTTTGTAAGCGGACTGGGTAACTGCCCAGATACCCAAAACAAAACAGGCGACATCCTCAGGAAGCGTTTGACCTACAGGTCTAATCCACAAGGCAGTAGATCAACGTAAGGAGGTACACTCTCATGATAGCCATTGATTAATAATAGGTTCATACGCTGTTTGTCCCCTCAGGATTCTGAAACCTATGTTCACGATTATTTTTGAATCAGGGCTTTCCAGTGCTCCTTTATTTACTAAAAGTTGAAATAGCTTTGTAAATGTATTCTATGTTTGTTCGGCAATGATGTCACCCAATGTTATTGTAACTAAACTGTGTAGTTCTTCTGAACGTTTTGGATAACAACAACCGCAGTTTTATAGTCGTTAAGAGTCACGGTCCCCCAAATAAATTCCATTGCTAAGGTAATTACATTTGATCTAATTTAAATAATAAGGTTGATTAATATGGGCTTTGTTCTGAACTTAGTACATGTCCAATTGGCGAACAACTTTCAATCCCAACCCTGCGTTTAAAGAGTTGATTTCATTCCAACATTAAGTTAATTTTATGTTCAGAAATTTCATTGCGTTTCTTGATCTGATTACAATGCGATAAAACCTTGCTATACATGACAGTTATCGCGTTTCATATATTGCTTGTGAAAGTGAGCAAAATGTAACAAAAGGGTGTGGTTTGTTTGCGATATAGTTTGCTGTTTCGAGATAACTAGTAACAAAATGTAGAAAATCCTATCAAGTTAAATTCACGTTAATAATGGTACGAATAGTATGAGTACCGAAAACAGCCATTAGTATTCCTTTTATCATATTTTGTGTCATTATTGGGTCTAAAAGCTACTGATAATCCATTCTTGGTACATTCGAAAATGGGTCGACTGGAGAGCTTATGATGACTTTATTTTAATACGCTGAAATATTATTTATTAACTTCAAATCATGAAATTCTTTTCTTTTACCTAAGATTTGGTCTACGCAATAGTCTCCTATTGGCCCCCATGCCAACGGCATCAACATCTCAGATTCTTGGGAACAATGAGTCGACTGAACCCTTTACAAGCAATGTATTTTCTCGTCGCGTGTTAAGTGGTGAATTTCAGATTGTAAACCCATATCTTCTTGACGATCTTACTAAATTAGGGTTGTGGTCGGACGAGCTTAAAACAGCAATTGTTTTGAATCAGGGTTCTATTCAACATATCGATGGTATTCCGAAGGAGTTAAAACCTTTGTACAAAACAGTATGGGAGATTTCGCAAAAAAAAATTATTGATATGGCTGCAGATCGTGCCCCTTTTATTGATCAAAGCCAATCTCTCAATTTATATCTCGCTCAACCAAACTATGGAAAAATAACAAGTATGCATTTCTATGCGTGGAGAAAGGTATGCTTTATAACTCCCGTATTTATTACGGTGTTTCTGATTAATAATAAGATCTTTATTTAATGAAATAATTTAAAGTAGTGTAGTCTTTCCTCATTTATATGGATGTTTTTCTAACCATTTGACAATGTATTTGTTGTCTTTTTTGTAGGGTCTGAAAACAGGTATGTATTATCTGCGGACACGGCCTGCTGCTGACCCTATCAAGTTCAGCGTAGACAAAACCATTCTGCGAGTGCTAACTGATTCTACCGCAAAAACAAATGAACCTCAAAACAATGATTCAATTGATCAAACTGTCGAAGCTATGGAAGAACTCCGAATAATAGAAGAGATACAGAAACGTAATGTGAAGGCTATTGCTTGTAGCCTTAATAATCCCGAAGGATGTTTAAGCTGCCAAGGATAATATAACTTCATTTTTTAAACTTTATTTTTGTCAACAAACTTATTAATTGTAACTACATTCAGAAAATTTTTATAAACTAAGAGCTTTATGTTTATTTTATTCAGAGTATAACGTAGTAATAACTGTCCCAAATTCTCGATATTATATTATTAATCACTTTTGTCTTGTTTTCCTTTATACATCCTGGAGTTTCATGGATTTGTACAGTTTCTCAAGCTTCGGACTACTACTGGATACGTACATTTAAATATGGAGATTAAGTTCACAGCTAAAATAAAGACTAACATGCTTTCCAAATACTTGTAAAGCTGTAAATAAATGAAAGGCGTCATTGCATAGTGTGATCTTTATACTAAGATTTACTCCCCTTCAAATCTTGGCGAATAAATAGACAGTAATAGAAGCATTAGTGAAAGAGAGGCCATCACCTTAGCACACAAGCAATACTTCGAGGGATTCCATTATGAGGAATTCGCAGTTGTGTTTTTAGGTTAAGAGGAACGTAGAAAGCTGGATATTCTAATTTGGGTGTATATTAACAAAGTGAGTTTTTGTCATTTTAACTGGCTGATTAAGTTCATACTACGGATGTTACAGTAAATTTCATTTCTTGTACACAAGCTACCCACTGATGATATTTCATCCGGCTTCAGGAGTTCATAGTTGTTTTTTTCAGTACAAAATCATGTCTGCCAACCGTAAGTCGATAAAATACTACTCACATAAGAGCAGTTGTTAAATGGCTGAGATAAAGAGCGTTACCCGCAAAATTGAGACTAAATATAGAGCCTATAATCGAGTAAAGAAACTGCAGGGATAAGAAGTATTCTAATGTGATCAAACCACTAGGACGCGTACCGGAATCTAACGATGATGTATTCGGTCTACTTGTGTGTTGCTCGCCGGACATTGAGTTCTCATGAAGGTGGTGTTCTAGTGCCTCCACATATGTTCGGGTTCCCTTAAATCTAACTTGGTTAAGCCCTCGCGATTAATTTATTAAACCAAGCCATCTGCGTAGCACAACTTATATGTACCTTTCGCTCCTACTATCGTCTGGTTTTTATAAGCTCACATGACTTGTCTCATTGCTTTTGACCTTGTCAATCATTGGTCGCTTTTATTCATGTGTGCATGTCCATTTCGCTTGTCACATGTCTGTCTTGTTTTTGGTCTGACTATATATTCTTAATCATGCTCTGTCTCTTGGAGTTGGCTCAACGCGCATCTCCAATTCACGTCGCTTCATTCGTTTTATTCACTGCTTCTTGGCTTCGCTTTGTGGTGTGTCCCAAATGAACGTATTCAACACTACGAGTTCACCTTCTGACGCCAGTTAGTAACGATTGTCTGGACGAGCCAATTACGAAGCTTAAGAACACATCAAAATGGGTCACCACAGTGTAACTTCAAGTTCGTCGATTATGCAGTTGAACAGACCAGGAAGTAGTTAGGTCTTGACGAACTCCACTCGAACTTGCCAGTTCAGCTTAAGCCTCAACACGAAAGCCAGCATCCAAATAAGTAGATTTTTACATACCCTGGAGTAGTAAACAGTCCCATAAGATCGCTTAGTCATCGAAGATGACTAACACATTAGGGTTATAAACTAATGCTTTAGTCAGGTGTCTATTTCTTACCGAAAGCTAAGGAGCTGACCGAAGCACTTACAGCTAGGATCGACCTGGTCTAAGTTTCATGAGCTGCGGTTGCTGCAGTGTTTTAGACACTAGTTAAATTGACTTCAAATATCACTAAAGGATGTTAGTCCACAGTCAAGGACCAGGCATAAGGGATTAAATCTACTTTTCAAATACTTTTGTATTATAGCCGAGCTTTTGCTCAAATTGTATTACCATCCCTGGAGACCTAAACCCGACCTTACAGACCATGCTTCTCTACCTTGATTGATACATCTGTATTTGAACTGTTTATCAGGACTACTTTGTCAGGAAGATATGATTGTCATATTAACTTGCAGCAGTTCAAAAGTAGTGATAGACCTACGAATCTAAAGATTTTAAAGATGAATGTATAGGTAATAGTATCAGTGTGTGACATCAACGTATACGAGAAGACATAACCGTGTTTAACGACTTTGATGACTTATTTTTCTCCTGGCGCGAAGTTGGTCTGAACCAGCAACTAAAGTTATAATAGAGAAAGAGGCATTTTAATGGGTCAACATCACCCATCATTAAAATCTCTTCGGACCCGTCACGTTCGTGTAAAACAAAATTTTAGCAGACAGAAGGCCCACTAGGCCTTTTCCAGCTTGAGGAGTATGGTGCAATGAGTGACAAAATAAACGTACATGGATAATTATATAGCAATCACATAAAGCGTTTGAGCATTACCTAACTACTGTTCAAATAATTAGAACACATTCCTAATTATTAAAAATAAGGCAGTTTATGAGAGTGATTTAAGTAACTGGAAAAAATGTGTTCGCTTTTCTGTGAACTGATTAAATAATGAAAACGTAATATACCAGTAACGTTTTTACAAAAGAAAATGGTATTGTTCAGTTTTATAAAATAAATGAATTCAAAACATTATTTCCAAAGTTTCTTGATGGATACGTTTTTCTCAGAATCTTTTTGCATCACCTATAAAAGAGTACAAAATAAAAAACGAGACCATAACAAGATGGTAACTTAGAGATGAAATTCAATGCATAAAATCTAGATGAAGTGACAAAGGCTTACAAAAAAAACGACAGTCTCCCTTAAAATCATGAATGAATACCACACCAGTTAAATTGAGTTAGACGTCAGTATCCTCGGGAACCATGATATTCAGTTTCACAGTGATTTCAATCAACATTTCGCCCCTGAATCCCATAACTCAAGTTATACTTTAAGTAGTTATACTGATAATACCGCATGAACATTACCACAAAACTTGAAAGCAGTCGAAATAGTTGTTCTTATCGCTTTATATTTGTCATTACCACTAAGAAAAAATTCTCACCCATGTAGTATTACTAGAATTATTTACAAACGCTTGTCTGAACAAAATACTCTACTTCATTGGTCTACAGGTTTTGTGCTACCGCACCTTGTGAGTGTTCGGAATGCATTAGTTACAGGATTATTGTCGCAATATGAAATGTTCTTTAGTCATAACATCGGTGTTTACCACCGCTTACATTATCTTAGCGATACCTTTACGTTCTTGATTATCAGAAATTCGTTTATTAATTTTAAATACCCTAGTTACTTAGGGATGTACAGATGATTTGTGTACCCTAAGTTTTTACCGACATTACATTTTTGGGATATTTTCGAGGTGGATTTTCAGTCTGAAAATTGCAAACAGCTTATTAGGAATTATCGTACTCAAAACATTTTCAGCCAGTCAGTCAGTTACAGCGCAGAACTTCGTACGTAAGTACATCAGTTCATGTTGCCATACCACATTAGCACAGAGACAAAATCGTCAATTCAAATCCCATAGTGGTAGAGATAGTAGAAGAATTACTGCTGGTGGAGAAGATTGGTATTTCAAGATAATATTCAAGAAGAATAATTCAGTGAGGTTAGTTCAGAAAGACAAAGGTAGAGGTGTTGACGAATCCAGAAGATTAGGATTTGAGAGAGCACAACGAATGGATGCACTTGCGCCATTGCAAACGATTTTGAGCAATGTCATTCAAGGTCTCTAAACATTAGTAACTGTCGTCTCGCGGACCCCAACCAGGTAGCCAATATGACTCAGTTCACCTGTCAGTGACTTCATGGATTTCTAACATGTTTTGGTCTGGCCGCCCCTAGCTTTCTTTCAACCTACTCCTACACCACAAAATATAGCTCGTCGAGGCAGTCGGTGGTTGGAAATACGTAACACATGTCCTAACCACCTCAACTGATGAAGTTTCAATACTTAATCTATTGACCTGCCATTCTTACCTAGTACTCGCTTTCTAACGGCAGCATTTCTTACTCGGGTATCCCACGATGCACAAGCAATGCTTCTAAGACATCTGTGATCGAATACTAATGACCTAAGAATATCTTTTACTCTTACAGACCATGTTTCATATCCATTTGGGAGAACGGAACGAACTGCTGCACAGTACACTCGTCTTTTGTTAGCAAACGGATATCTCGCCTGCGCCATAAATGACACAAGTTGGCAAAAGCCAATCGAGCCTTCTGTATCCGCACTGAGGTTTGGTCACAAACCAGGCCATCAGCGCTGATGAGACTCCCAAGATAAGTGAAGTGGTCGACACGCTCGACTTCACTCCCTATCTCTAGTTCAGGTGCCGACGCAACCCAAGCTTAGAGCAACATTTTGCATTTCGAGGGAGAAAACCGCATCCCGAATATGCATTGTTGCTCAGGGTAGTCAGAAGATCCTGTATTTTGTCAGGACTCGGATTATTTTAAAGCGATCGGGCACTGAACTTATCTTCACATCTGGTCAGCTACAATGCAAACGGTACATCTGAGTGCGCTATTAGATGGGCTTACACAGTAGTTTGCTTAACAGTAAGGGTAAAACGGGAACCCCGAATATCAACAAGTGGTAGTTACTAGTTGTGATTATAAATAAATTCAGAAACTGCACAGTAATTAATCAACGACACTTAGAACTATTGAATTTGGATGTTTCATAACACCAATTTATGACGTAATTCACTTTTTATTATATCACGGTTGACCTATTGAGCGAAGTTCTTACGTCAATAAACAGCAGTTAAACATGATTTGGGCCATCAAACACAAACACGGGACTTTAGCTACTTTTTACATTATAGCAGAATGATAACGCGATATAGGGATGAATTCTTACTGGTCATTTCATTCTCAGTTTTAAGAAAAATTGTAGGCTTCAACAAACATAATCGTCAAATAGATTTAAATCGACCCTACTGTTCATTACTGTCTAATGTAAAACGTAGCTTACAATTTATGACAAAAAACCCAATTGCGAAGTACAGAATTATCCTCTCAGTTATTTAAAAAACTTAGGTGGCTAAATAAAAGTAATAAAAAACTAACGAACATCAGGTAAACGTCTAATCACTTTGTGTGAAGTGGATTATAATAGTTACCTAGCATAATAGACTAAATTATGCCCTTTACCTTGTGTTTTTACTTAAGAGTTAACAACCTTCAAACACTTACACACGACCTCTTGAATCAAAATAACTAAGTGAATTTTAGAAAACCAAGTGCAAATGATTTGGCCAAAACAGTGAGTTACCTTAGCAACTGCTAATTCAAAGTCTTCTTGAGTAACGTGAACCCGGCGTTCGCGTAGAGCATACATACCGGCTTCCGTACACACTCCTTTCACTTCTGCACCGCTTGCACCAGGCATCGATTCCGCTAACTTGCGCAGGTCAATATCTCTCGTTAAGTTCATTTTTCGAGAATGTATTTTCAGGATATCTAATCTAGCTTCTTCATTTGGAGCTGGGAATTCGATTTTTCGATCAATTCGACCAGGTCTCAGAAGAGCTGAATCAAGTATGTCTATACGATTTGTTGCCATGATAACCTATGGAGTAACAATATTGAGTCGAATTTACCTTTATATTTTGTTTGGGTTCGAACCCGTCCAACTGATTGAGCAACTCCAACATAGTCCGTTGAACTTCACTATCTCCCCCTGTGCCACTTTCCAATCTAGTGGATCCTATTGAATCAACTTCATCCATGAAGATGATGGAAGGTGCATGTTCCCGTGCCATAACAAATAATTCCCGAACCATTCTAGCTCCTTCACCGATGAATTTTTGGACAAGTTCAGAACCACTAAAAAATAAACTCTATTACGAACTGACAATACCTGACACGAATAAATGTACATTCAGTATGATGAGCAACAGCACGAGCTAATAAGGTTTTACCTGTACCTGGTGGCCCGTATAGCAACACGCCTTTGGGCTGTGCTATTCCTAGAGCATCAAAAAGCTCCGGATGCTTTACAGGAAGCTCAATGACTTCCTTAATTTCCTTGATTTGCTTATCTAAGCCTCCAATCATCTCATAAGTAGAGTCTGGGACCTTTTCTACCATCATTAGAGACACAAGGGGGTCAACTTTGCTTGGTAAAATTTTATGCAACGTGTAACTGTCGCTTCGGAGAGCCACACGACAATTTGGAGATATCTGGGATATTTCAATGTTTTTATCAATATCCACAACATATTTTCCTTCTGGTTGTACTTTAACTAACACTTTCTTTTTATCCATAGCTTTTACAACTTCTCCGACAAATGAGCCCTGTTCTTGCAGCAGCTGTAGTTCTTCTCGAAGCATGCGAACTAAGGAATATAAGTGGAAAATAAGTATTGCTACCCTTAGCGTTTAGCTCGTTTCGTTGAGCCTCTAGTCTTCTCAAGTTGAGCACTTTTTCAGTGTAAATAAATTGATGCTCATCGATTTTGTTCATATAATAATTCTTTATCCCATCGGTGGGAGGAGGAGTAGGTTCCAACGTTCCTTTTTCCGACTCACGCTTAACTTTCCTCGACGGTTCTCCAGGTAAATACTTTGGCGACCGACGTGGATAAGATTCAACTTCCTAAAATTAGTAGACGTAATTTGAGGATTATCAAACGAACATTGAGATTAGGTGAACCTCTAGCACGCATTACTTACAATAGCAGCCATTTAGTTGAGTAATAGGTCAGGTGACCCGCTAGAATGTTGAAGTATCCAACATTCAATATATCCATCACTAGCAATTGTACACAAACTAATTCCGTACAACAGAGTCCTGGGATCAAAGCCTGGTTTCAGACCTGTGGCTTTTAGTGGATTTTAATTGTTGCTTCATTTCAATTATATAACTACAGCTGTTTCAAAAGACTATTTTTTTCTCACCATAATACTTGTTTTTAGCATCACGGAGATGTGAATAGTTTAGCTACTCAAACACGTCGGACGTATAGGAATTCTTACTTATTTCCAACACTCTGCTATAAAGGAAATATTATTGATTTTCCTTAAAGTTGCCAAGTAAACAATCTTTCTAAGTCCTGTCCAACGATTTCGTTCCTGAATAAATCAAACATATCAGCTGTATTCTGTGCTTAACACTCATTGATAAAATTATTCTCACCCTATGTGCCTTGCAGCGTTCCCAACAAATTTTAACAGCCAACAGTAAAACTGACAGAGATCAATACGGAAATATCCATCCGTGCACTGAAAAAGCATAACAGTGCGACTGCGGACCCAACAAAATGTCTGGAAGCTAAGGCACCTAATATTCCTAATAGCATACACTGAAACTCTAGCTGTAAAATCAGCACTATTTAGGCGCTGAAAGATTTCCTTACCGAAACGAAAGATGGACTTATCCAGTGAATGTCCCTTGCTAGCAAATGGGTTCTTAACTGTGATAAAAACCTGTATCGCTAAGCCGAAACCGAATAGGTACTAAACGCTACTTCTGAAATGGCAATTGCATGAAATTTACCTGGCCATAGACTTACTGTGAAGTCAGGGGATCCTAAAAGAGTGGTTGCGAAAAAAGCCTAATTTTCTACGAACGCTGAGATCCTTTCGGAAATGATAACCACTCGTATATCTCTTAAAAAAACTTTGTGCTCAACATTTACCTTCTGAATGGTCACTATCTTTGTTAGTTCTCCTAATTTTTGTATGGTTGAAAGTCATCTTTGTAAAAGGGCGCAAGCAGACAAACTTTTATAGATATAAGCTCAAATGCTGACATATAAGTAAATAAAATGTGCTGAAGCATAACAGATTCAGACGTCCCTAGTTTGTCGATAATCCCTTAGAACAAGCTTCCTTAGGATTTGCTTAATATTATGCAACTTATTGGGCTGGGTTAGAACCAGATTAACATAAAGATTAGGGTTTGAAAGGGATATATTATCGAAAATTATTCGATAAATTTCATTTATTCACTAAATGAACAGGCATATGTTGTAAATTATTGATCACATATGTAAAATGCATGGACGTGCTCTTTCAGAGATTGTAAAATAAGATCCACTGCCAGATAATCCTATTTCCGATTTATTCAAGTTCTCAAAATCATTAGGTCGGCGAGAAATCCTGTTCGAATAACGATTTGACAATATCCGATAAATGGTGTTTCAAAATTATTTAGTAAATGGTTAGATAGATGTAAGTACTCATCTAGCATCAGAACGCCCAGTTTTAGCGATAGCTAGGCGAGGCACTGAAATCTTGATGCAGGCGAAGAGGTGAGCCTGAAACAAGTTGGAGGTCGCCTTGAAGTATTCTTAGTTCTTACTTGGCATTGAAAAACAGATGCAATACCAAAGTTTGAAGTGATAGGAGATGCTTTCAGAAGAAGCTGGCTGTCCAAATACGGGCAAACCCAAAGCATCTGTGTAGGTACTTGACCAAAAGAAAACCTACGAATCGGGGTTTGTGTTCTCTCAAAGGTCCGAATGGGGAAGACCTCACCAACCTGGAGATCGCTGAGATCTTCAACACAAACCTCACCGATCGGTTAAAAAGAGCATCCTCATTTTTAGAATACTACACAAATCCAGTGCCGGCTAGCCGTTTAGGGAATATCGGTATCAGTCCTGACTTAGTACTTACTTACTTACTTACGCCTGTTACCCCCAAACGAGCATAGGCCGCTCACCAGTTTTCTCCAACCAACTCTGTCCTGGGCTTCCGTCTCCAGTTCTGTCCAATGATTGCTCATTCCTATCATATCTTTCTCTATTTCTCGGCGTAATGTGTTCCTTCGCATTCCTCTTTTCCATTTTCCTTGAGGGCTCCATGTGAGGGCTTGTCTCGTGACGCAGTTAGGTGTTTTTCGTAGTGTGTGTCCTATCCACTTCCACCGCTTCTTCCTGATTTCCTCCTCCACTGGAATCTGATTTGTTTTCTCCTAAAATAGGTTGTTGCTGATTGTGTCTGGCTAACGAATCCGAGGTATTTTGCGTAGACAATTGTTAATAAAAACACTTGTATCTTCTGGATGATGCCTTTCGTAGTTCTCCATGTTTCCGCTCCATACAGTAGAACTGTCTTGACATATGTATTGAAAATCCTGATTTTGATTTTGATTGAAAGTTGTTTGGAGTTCCAGATATTTTTCAACTGTAGAAATGCAGCCCTGGCTTTGCCAATCCACTCCCTCACATCTGCATCCGATCCACCTTGGTTGTCGATGATGCTGCCCAGATATGTAAAGGTGTTAACGTCTTCCAAGGCATCTCCATCAAGAGTGATTTGGTTGGTGCATGTTGTGTTGCATCGGAGAATTTTGCTTGTTCCCTTTATGTATGTTGAGACCTGCTGCTTCAGAGGCTGCTGGAGAGGCTGCTGCTACATTGGTCGTCTTCTCTTGCATTTGTTGCTGCGTGTGCGATAGAAGAGCCAGGTCATCTGCGAAGTCCAGATCGTCCAGCTGCGTCCTAACTGTCCAGTTGATACCGTGCTTCCCTCCAGATGTCGACGTCTTCATAATCCTGTCGATGACCAGGAGAAAGAGAAAGGGTGAGAGTAAGCAAACTTGCCTGACACCGGTCTTCACCTCAAACGAGTCTGTTAGCTGTCTCTCGTGTACGATTTTGCAATTGAATCCATCATAAGAATTCCGTATGATGTTAACTATTTTCTCAGGCACACCGTAGTGTCGAAGAACCCTCCACAGTGTTTTCCTATCCACGCACGTTATCGAATGCTTTCTCGTAGTCGATGAAGTTGATGTAGAGTGATGAGTTCCATTCAATTGATTGTTCCACAATGATCCGTAATGTAGCAATTTGGTCAGTACACGACCGATCCTTACGAAATCCGGCCTGTTGATCTCGAAGTTGGGCGTCTACGAAGTCCTTCATTCTGTTTAACAATACCCTGTTGAAGACTTTGCCTGGTATTGAAAGAAGAGTGATGCCTGTGTAGTTCTCACACTTGCTGAGATTGCCTTTCTTTGGTATTTTGATGAGGTATCCTTCTTTCCAATCTGATGGTACTTGTTCCTCATCCCAAACCTTCTTGAAGATGTTGTGAAATATTTTCGCGGTTGCTTCTACATCTGCTTTCATTGCTTCTGCTGGAATGTTGTCTGGTCCTGCTGCTTTGCCGCTCTTGATTTGTCTGATGGCCATACTGATCTCCTCAGTTGTAGGTGCGCCAATATTAATTGGGAGGTCCGTGGATTCTGCTTCGATGTTGGGTGGGTTCAGTGGAGCTGGTCGATTCAATAGTTCCTTAAAGTGCTCCACCCACCTATTTCGCTGTTCGTCAGTGTTGCTGATTATTTTCCCTTCCGTGCTTTTCACTGGTCGTTCTGGTTTACGATAGTTTCCGGCGAGCTTCTTTGTTGTTTCGTACAATTGTCTCAAGTTTCCGTCTCTTGCAGTCTTTTCCGCCTTCATTGCTAGATCTTCCACATATTTTCGTTTGTCAGCTCTGATGCTCTACTCCACTTGCCTGTTTGCTTCTGTGTATGCAGATTGTGCGGTAACTTTCTCTGCACTTGTTCGGCTGACATTCACTGCTGCCCTCTTTTTCCTCCTTTCTTCAATTTTCGCAAGAGTATCAACAGAGATCCATTCCTTGTGATGGTACTTCTTGCGACCAAGGACCTCCTGACATGTTGAAGTGATTGCCTCCTTAATCCCTTTCCAATCGTTCTCCAATGTTTCGTCCTCTCCATTGTGTAGATCCTGAAAGGCCTGGAACCTATTGGTGAGGGCTATCTTGAATTCGTTGAGCTCTACAGTATCCCGAAGGAAGGCCGTATTAAACTTGTGTGATGCTGTCTGTCCCGTTATCCAGTGCTTCTTTAGTTTCAGTTTCATTTTGGCGACCAGCAAGTGGTGATCTGAGGCTACATCAGCTCCTCTCTTGGTTCTCACATCCTTCATGGTCCTTCTGAACGTTTTGTTGATACAGATATGATCAATCTGGTTTTGAGTAGTGTCGTCTGGTGAAATCCATGTGGCTTTGTGAATGCGTTTGTGCGGGAATATTGTGCCACCGATGACCGGTTTTTTGAAGGCACATAGGTTTGCACATCTCTCACCGTTTTCGTTTTTTTCTCCCAGTCGTTGTCGTCCCATGATGTCTTCATATCCAGTGTTGTCCATTCCAACCTTGGCATTCAGGTCTCCATCAGAATGGTCAAATCCTTTGGTGAACATTTCTCGACGATTGACTGCAGCCTTTCGTAGAATTGATCTTTGACGTCGTCATTGTAGTCATTGGTAGGTGCATAACATTGGATGACGTTCATTGTAATGTCCTCTTTCTTTGTTTTGAAGGATGCTTTGATGATCCTGTGTCCATGAGATTCCCATCCTATTAGTGCCTTTTGTGCATGTTTGGACAGCATCAGTGCAACTCCTTGTGTATGTGAAGCGTTTTCCTCTTCATGACCAGAGTATAACAGCAGTTCCCCTGAAGCTAGTCTCAGTTGTCCTACCTGTTTCCCATGCGTTTCACTGATGCCGAGCACCTCGAGGTTGTATCTTTTCATTTCTGCCGCAACTTGAAATAGTCTTCCAGTCTCCCACAATGTACGAACGTTCCATGTACCTAAAAGAATGGTTGCTCTGGTTGTCAGAAGAGGCATCGGCCTCGTGACTTCCTACGGAACTCAGCTTTCATCACGCGACGTCATAATTGTTCTTCCAACTCCCTGGGCAGAGTTAAAATGGTTTGAATTATTTTTTCTGGTTAGCGTTTTTTTGGCAAGTTAGTTTTTGACGGAATGGGGTCGCCAACCCCATGTCCAATCCTTCTCCTTTACCGGGGCTTGGGACCGGCAGTAGCCCTGAAGGTTCTACTGGCGGAGTTGACTTAGTACTAAGGAAACTAAAATTCTTACGCACAGGTTAGTCACCAGGTTGTGAAAATATACTACATTTCGTCAACAACTTCACCAAACAGGACTATGTCATCTGCATATTTTAGGTCAAGCGAATCTACTGGTGCAAGGCAAACTCAGACGATGAAAGATTTGTTTTAGAAGCATGTTGATGACAAAGTTGACGTAAACCTGACAGAGCCTTCTGCACTCCCTCATCCCAGATTTCCTATAGCGTTTTCAACTTCAGAAACAGTTGGAGGACTTACATCTATTTGTCATTCAGGTCAACTGGAAATCGTAGGAAACCGAAGTGTGGCTGAAAGCCAGGTGAACTGATCCTGATAGTGTTCTGCTCATAGATCCAATCTCCCGGATCGAGAATGAATTATAGTCCCATCTTTTTCGAGATAGCCTCACTAATAGTCGACTTTCTAACATCAGTTTACTTGATAAGTCTGAAAAATTGTCTACTCTTACCTATCACCACTTGCGTTCGTTACCAACCGCTGTTCACGATCATTGCGTAGGATTTGTGGCAATCTGTGTTTAAACTGCCTCCACTCCCATCATCCTTCAATTCAGTAGATACCACGAAAATCCACAGATTTTCCTTAATTTTTGTGTACCTTGCTGATAGATATCACTGCAGTTTCCACAGCATTTTGGATATAATTCCGAGCTGCCTCGAGGTGGGCATTGCTTACAGCAACGAGTAGTTTGGTCAAGCGTTGAGTCAGTTTTAGGGGTAACCATGTCAAAAGATGTCTTTGTTTGTGCTCAAAGTATGTGCTAGAAATAGGCGGCAATTTGAGCGTAGCTGAAACAGACGGTCGCCATTATCTGTTCGATAAGACAGAACAGCTATTTAGTGCTCGTAGATTTTCGACGGTGGTTTTACTTAGAGTGGCTCATGATTTCAACGATACTTAGCAATCTTCATGACCTTATACTGATGTTACTAAGATGAGATAAATTAGATTGGTGCATCCATACTCAGTTTTATGCTACATCCCTTTGGAGATGAGATATAGAAAAACATATAAAAACATGGATTTTCATTTTTATTTTAAAATATTTATATTGCTAAATCTTTTTATCTGTGATATGAACAATAGAACTAGATATACAAAGAAAATTAAACTAACATAAAAAAATAAGAAATAAAGGAGCATAATGAAACCGAATAAAAGCATAGTTCATTCTAGTTTTCGGAAACATCGATTGAAAAGCCTGTACAAAGTGAGAAATTATAAAAAAGTAACTGTGATGAGGATCCATGATTGAAATAATTGTAGAACAATCTTTATTCACAGATGGGCAGTTGTTGATTCCTTGTCTCGACCAGCAATTTACTAACAACTGTCTCACCAAGTAATTGAGCAGCAACACATACAGTATCAAGACGAGTTAACTGAAGACGATAATGTCCATCGTCTGAAATAGTGTAAGTAAAACGGACGTGACCAGAAGGACGAGCTAAGTGGTGATCCTTTACCAAATGCTTAGACAATTCGCTACCTGTTTCAAAATGATAGAAAAAATTCATTACAAGGATGAAAAGTTTACAAGGGAATAGATAGCTATAACATGAACCTACATTTAATAAGAAGTAAAAGCTATACATGAAACAAAAATAAGTCAGTTTCTTGAACTTTTCAATATCTGTGACTGACAAGTTTAACTTGATAATCGGTTACATAAACGATGAAATTTAATTCAAACTGGAAGCACTCAAACAGTGATCCAAATTATCAATGTAGGATTTCGATCTCATGCCTTAAAAGGGGAATTATAATAAGTAAACCAGCTGATTATTTTAAATTGAAACGTAATCACTGAATGACAGAATACCAGGTTTTTCCTATAATAATGAAAAAGTTTTGAAATATGAAAATGTTTAGATACTTACACCATTTTTTTGTCAGAAAATGATTAGACTGAACTTTGAAAATGACTTATGAGCGAAGAGATACAATTAAGCGATTCAGGAATAAGAAAAATAATGAATATACATGGGATCAAATGATCGTATATTTTTTATCCCTATATTTTTTAGAGATAGAAGTACAAATTATATTAGTAACTATAAGTAAGGTTGGACGTGAAAGGACCATTGAAGCGGATGTAACTAATTAATGTAACTGGGTAAACTGATTAGATTGCGACTATCGTGAGGTTTATTGTGTAATAAAAATATACAAAGGAGTTTTGTGAAATCTAACAGTGAAAGTTACTGCATGACAAATAATGAACAATGTTATATGTAACCAGATTGTCCACACTAAATATGTTTCAGTCTACAGAATCTGTAAATGGAAATCGGTTTCTGAATGAACAATGAATACAAGACTTTATAGGTTCATCCCCGACCGTAGCTGCTACCTTGACGTGGTGGTCGGGCTTGCCTATCGTGATGACCCAACCGAGCTATACTGGCTGGAACATATGTTCCTGCAGGTCCTACCATGCCAGGCAGGTCGATTGGAGAACGATGAGACTAAAAGCAGCTACCCAAGGTCTGAGGGCGAAGTCGTACTGCTGACTGCAGAGGGGTGTGACAGCAGTAAGGTGTTTCCCTCGGACAACCAGCATCTGCAGCGATGCTGCTTTCTCACAAGGAAGGAAGGGTTAGAAAAGGTCGACCCTAAAAATGTCACACCTCCCCTAACTCACGGATTTCCGTCTCCTTGGGTAAGGGTGCCCACTAAGGGCCTTTAAGAACGGAGCTAATCCTCTAAATACCTCTCATAAAAAGGTCGTGCGTGACCGGCCTCAAGCAGTTGTCCCTTGGGCTCTGCGGTCACGCACCAACACTAATCCATCTTCGTTTTCAGGTCCCTCAAGAAACAACCTTCCACGGTGTGGGCAGCCGGGAAGTGACAACCGCCCTCATACCCGTAACAGCACACGAGACCAAATTGGTCAAAATCAAATCCTTCCTGACTGACTTATAGGTTCATGTTTTTCCTATAGTTACTGAGTTATAAATAGTAAAAAAGCTGAAATATATAATCACTGTGGTTGTTAAATATCAATAGAAAAAGGTTCCATATTTTAGATTTAATTCTTCTACATACTCTATCTATTATCTTGAGTAGATAATATAGAATAGTCAAAAACAAAATATGACGTACCTCGTCGTTTAACAACAGAGCACATATGACACATATATAAACGCTTTTGAGAAGTATTTGATGAGTTTTCAGCATTGTATGAATGATCTGATAATGATTCCAGTGATGAATAAGAAGGGAGTGGATTATGCTTACGGCCAATATGAATCAGATAACCATTTCTTTTGTTAGTTTTGAAAGAACAACCATTATGAGGACAAACAAACACATTCACTTTTGCACAAGGGATAATATCATTGTCTGTACGAGGTAAAATATCTGTTTGAATATTTGGTAAGGCACCAGCTTGAGCCAATAGTCCATGGATTGGAGCGATAGATGTGGAGTGAGGCCATTTTTCAGCTTATCATATAAATTACGAGAAATAAAAAAGAAGGGTGATGGGTTTCAAAATTTCATGCATAGATTAACATAAATTTCTTTAAAACAAGTTTCCATAAGACGAACTTTGGATAATTTTCAATGATAACTATATGCTTCTCAAATTTTTGATAAAGTTATGATTTTAAGTAATTGATGTCACGAAACTGAAAAATTTCGTCGCTCATTGTTTTCAGATAGTGAAAATGAGTTAATCTTATTTGCAATAATACAAACAAGCCCTGGATGCGATTTTTCCCCCTGGAAATGTAAAAGTGTTGCTTCAGGATTGACTTGCGGTGGCACCTGAATTAGTGACAGGGAGTGAAGCAGTCGAGTGTGTTGACCACTTCACATATCTTCAGAGTCTCATCAGTCTTGATGACCAGGTGTCTGACGAACATCTCAGCACAGACACTGAAGACTCGACTGGCTTCCGCCAACTTGCCTCATTTGTGGAGTAGGCGAGATATCTGCCTGTCAACCAAAGGACGACATCACTAAACAGCAGTTCGCTTCATCCTGCGATACGGCTGTGAGACATGATATCTAAGAATAGACGATATTCGTAAGTTATTAGTATTGGATCAGAGATATCTTCGAAGCATTGTTTATGTATCCTGGGAAAATCGAGTAAGCAATGCTGGGGCAAGGAAAAGGATTTTAGGTAAGGATGATAAATCAGTTGATGAAGTAGTGAATCTTCATCAGTTGAGGTGGTCAGGACATGTGTCACGTATCCCCAACCACTGACTGCCTCGATGACAGACGTCGTCTGATGTAGGAGTACGCCGGAAGAAAGATAGGGTCAGCCAAACCAAAACATGGCACAAACCCATGAGGTCACTGACTATTGAACTTGGCCATGTTAGTAGGTGCGGACTACCTGACAAACGTAATTGGAGGTTAGAGACATTGTTTCAGTGACTCAGATGCATCCATTTTTTGTTTTCTCCCTAATTCTAATCTTCTTCTTCGTCAATATTTTTAAGTGTTGTTCAAATTAAGGGTGGAGGGAACGCTCTTCGACTTCCATTAAAACCATACAGCTTTAGGAACACGTAGAGGGTTCAGTCAATTATTTGCAATTAAAATCGATCCCACCTATAAAGTAAGGAGAGTACGCTGAATAAGATATAGCGTGAATGAAAGTATAATGTAAGCCATCAATCACTGATTTTATTCACAATAATTTTTTATGAGTGCGCAGTGATGGACAATCACTAATTATCGAACAAAATTTCTGTATCTAATTGCTTAAGCCCCTAATTTACTGGTTTTTGGCACTATAATAGTAGCAAAATTATAAAGGTAGTAGAATGCTTTTAAGTAGATTGTATTCATAGGCTTCTATGCTTACTTATATTCACATTAAATTTGTGATGGATGGATTTTTTTACTTATTTCTTAAGAGAAACAACAAACTCGTCTATGGAATAGTTTAGCAGATCAGGCAAAAATGCATTTGAGATGATGACTGAGTGTTACCATGAGTTAATGGATTACTATAACGACTGTGTGGTAAATAAAGTGAAAATACCGTTTAAATATCCGAAAGTTTTATATACTAAGATGAATTCAGCTAAAACAATAAAAGCATAGATACAAGCCTTACCATCTAAATCAGATTGAGTAGTATCTGTTACAAGTGAATTGGCTGACTTTTTCTCATTATGATTTAATTCATTAATTTTATGTCGGAGCCTTAAATGCCGTGTTAAACCGTTGGTAAGTTTAAATGCAAAAGAACAATGTGGACATTTATATGGTTTTTCATCTGAGTGGCGAAATAAAATGTGACGTTCCAGAGCTAGATTATTTGTTGTTTTTAAACAAGTGAAGAGAAAAAAGAAAACAAATCGAAGTCACATCAGTGTCAGAATGTTAGTATGCCAACATCGGGGTGAATATTATTTCAACTATCCAATTGATTTATTAATGCATAAAAACTTACAGTGTTAATTACGATCAGCGTTTTAAAGCTAGTAATTGAATTACAAGAGAAATATAAAACTGGTTTAGGAATAAAATATCAAAGATTAATTATTTTCCAAATCCTCTTCCAAACTAAAGGTTTATAGTGATGTAAACGACGAGAACGTAGAATTCCCACTACACAATCAAAGCTTAGTCAATACCCATTAGTCTTTTCATCCATAAACTTCTGATAGTTTTTTATCGTATTATTTCTTGAAGTGATGCTGCTTAGTTTTGTTTCGTAGTGTTTGAGTTTCTAGAGCTATAGTTCGAAAATGAAAGTAACATGATGGGTAGAAATATGACTTCACTGATGCTTTTTAACCGCTATTCAAATTTTTGATTAGTTAGTTATCTAATAAGTAATTCATAGTCCAAATACATTGACAGGGAATTCTGCGTTTATGTGGGGATTATATTCCCTAAACATAGAGTATTCTCAGTTAGTTCGATGGCAGTCTAATTTTCTTTAATTAATTCGGTTGAGATTTCATTGCTGATTATGTAAGCACATTTATCAGGGGACCTCGATCAAGAAACTATTTTGTCAGTATACTGTTAGTCAGTTAGCTCGTCAATGCAAGTTAATGTTAGAAAGAGATTGTGGTGTGTTAATTTACTGCGTGTTCTTAATCTTCGTAATTAGCTCGTCCAGATAATCGTGACCGAATAGCGTCTGACGGTTTATAAATCAGAAGGTGAATTCGTAGAGTTGAATACGTTTATTTGGGATAGATCACAAAGCAACGCGGAGAAGCAGTGAATAAAACGAATGAAGCGACATGAATTGGAGAAGGCTGTTGAGCCAACTCCCAGGATTACAATGCGAACGAATGGGCGAAGGAAGCGAATGAACAGGTGAAGCGCGTTGGAGAAGGCTAATGAGCTAACTCCTAGAGATAGAGCGTAACTAAGAATATATAGTCAGACAAATATAAGACAGACATGCGACAAGCGAAATAGGCACACATGAATAAAAGCGACGAATAGTTGACAAGGTCAAATTACAAGTGGAACACGTCATGTGAGCTCATACAAACCAGATAATAATAAGAACGAATGGTACATACAAATTATTGCAATACAAATGGCTTGGTTAAATAAATTAATCGAAAGGGTTTGACCAAGTTAGATGTAAGCGAACTGGAATATATGTGGAGGCACTACAAGACAATAACCTGTGTTTCGGCATCACAGTCATATAAAACTCGTAGTATAATAATTTCTGAGAATAAGACAAGTATAAATGGATTATTTCAACTGCTTTAATGATTGAAAACAGATTAGAGTCGTTTTCATTGACACTATGACATTAAAATATGCAACTGTTGACTTAACGGATATCAGTGATCTCGAAACTTTTGTCAAGAATGATACAATTTTAAACGAGTTACACAATGAAATACTAAAAATATCTAGTTCGCTTACATTCTTCGCTCTTAGTGTCGTCTTTTATTCATATTAAAGATTCTCATTGTGAAAATTAGAACGACAGATATAAGCGAACAATATTGTTTTCGAGAAGATCGTCATCATATACATATTTATATTCACACTACTTGTTGATATTCAGTAGCCAGTTACGTTTCTAATAACTTATGGCAATGAAAAGTACAACGTATCTGTTGTGATATATTCCTCAGTACTTTATAAACTGATAGCATTCAACCTAATTATTATTGTAATTTCATCTTTTCAATACCTACAACAAAAATTTTTAATTCTAGTGCACTCATTTAACGTATTATATATTATGACAGTTTCCATATTTGGCGTTCTTCATTCCCATTTTGATACTGTATGCCAATGTAATTTCGACACAGCTAGTAGCTATCACATATCGTGAGATATGTTCTATTAAATAATTTCATGTATTTTTTGGAAAGCGGTTTCGTTTGACTGTACAAGAAAATACCGTAGACATTTAACGAATGGGGTTTGTAATGTATTTCGTATAATTTAGCAATAATATGGCCATTTTTACAGAACATCTCACCACTAGTATTCTATTAGTTGGTAACTGTACGAGATTCTAACACCAAAATAGAAAGTGGGATGTAAAGAACACAGAACCTGGAACAAATACTAATTGGTTTAAGTTACCACATTAAGAGTCAAGAAATACTCAAGAAGAAACATTTGACATATACCTGACTTGCTCCAGACAGTCATATCACAAAAAGGGCACTTAACTGTATTGATATGTCTTTTCATGTGTGACATCAGTAATCGTTGTGTGCTGAAAACTCTTCGACAACGATTACATTTCACTGGTTTGATTGAATGATGCAAGTTTTGCTTGAACTGTAAAATAAGTATAAAGAAATAATATGAGCATACATGACGAAGATCGAAACAAGTTGGGAAACAAACGTTATATTTGGACATTTAGAAATTAAATACTACCGGTACAATCTTTTTAAGGTGCTTTCTGTAACAGTTTAAATTAACTCAAATATATATTGACAATCATGGATTGTTTTAAAAATAACAGAAACACGAAGACAAAATATTTAGTGACGGTTTTCCATTTTTAAACAAATTAGAGTAAAATTATACGACTTTAAACTAATTCTTAATTTTTAATACATGCTTCACCGAGTTGAAAATATTTCAGTGAGAAGTAACGGAGCAGAAGTATGACTTTACATCATAGTTACAATGACATTTTGCACACTACACAGATGATGACTACCGTGAAGAGAATAATAAAGAAGCAATGACAAAAACGAAAGATAATACCGAAGACATCGTGTTTCAAAACCTATGAAGTACCAATATCTAATTTTTGTCCCTGTTTTAATGATTGAATCATGAGCTGTCTTTTAATACAGAAATTGATGTTGCATTCCATTCCAAAATTACTGTAATTTAAAAAATGTGACTTTTGGATTCCACTTTATTTATTCACTGTGCACTGCGACATTAGGAATCATTGTGGAACAATCAATCGAATGGAACTCACCACTTTATATCAACTTCATTGACTGCGAGAAAGCATTTGATAGCGTGCACAGGACAACACTATGGAGGCTTCTTCGCCACTACGGCATGCCTGAGAAGATAGTCAATATCATACAGAATTATTATGGTTGATCAAACCGCGAAATCGTGCACGGAGGACAGCTGACAGACTCGTTAGAGGCGAAGAGCGATAATAGGAAAGGTCGCTTACATTCAACCTTTCTCTTACTCCTGGTGATCGACTGGGTTATGGATACGTCAATATCTGGAGGGAAGCACGGGACACAGTGGACAGCCAAGAAGCAGCTAGAATATCTGAACTTTGCAGGTGATCTGGCTCTTCTAACTTACACGCAACAACAAATACGAGAGAACACGACCAATGTAACAGCAGCCTGAGCAGCAGCAACCCTCAAAATACATAAAGCGAAAAGCAACGTTCTCAGATACAATAAAACATGCACCAACCAAATCAAACTTAATGGAGATACCTTGGGTGATGTAAAATCCTCTACCTATCTGGGTAGTATCATTGATGAGCAAGGTGGATCTGATGCAGATGTGAAGACGAGGATCGGCAAAGTAAGTGTTGCATTTCTACAATTGAACAACATCTGGAACTCCAAATGACTATCAACCAACACCGAAGTCAGAATTTTCAATACAAATGTCAAGACAGTTCTACTGTATGGGGCGGAAACTTGGAGAAGTACAAACACCATCACCCAGAGGATGCAAGTATTCATTAACAGCTGTGTACCGAAAGTACTTCGGATTTGTTGGTCAGACACTATCCTTAACAACCTACTGTGGGGAAGAACAAACGAGAATTCAGCGGAGGAGGAAATCAGGAAGAAGCTGTGGAAGTGGATAGGACATACATTGAATCTAATCTCCTGGATCAAGAATGAATTATAGTCTCACCTTTTTCGAGATAGCCTCATTAACAGTCGACTTTCTAACATCAGTTTACTTGATAAGTCTGAAAAGTTGTCTATTCTTACCTATTTCCACCGCCTTTTTAACTCTTGCTTTCGTTACCAACCACTATTCACGATCATTGCGTAGGATTTGTGGCTATCTGTGTTTAAACTGTCTCCGCTTCCATCATCCTTCAGTTCGGTAGAAGCCACGAAAATCCACAGACTTTCTTAAACCATTTGCGCACCTTGCTGACAGATATCACTGCTATTTCCACAGAATTTTTGGTATAATTCCGAGCTGCTTTGAGGTGGGCATTGCTTACATGGCATAGTAACTGATTTTCTCGTCGCTCTTGAAATTTACTCTTGGCGTTTTTACTGTTAGATAGGACTTTAAGAAAATTTCTTGTTATCCTTTTGGGATCCAGTAAGCCGAAGACATATACGTGCTGGCAGTAGGGCATGATCTTAGCCGAAAGATATGCTCCAGATTGAGCGGCAGTCTTCCACTGAGTTTCTCCATAGGGAACTGACAGCGGCGAATAGTTCGGTCATGCGTCGAGTCAATTTTAGGGGTAACCATGTCAAAAGATGTCTTTCCTTTTGCTCAAAGTGTGAGCCGAAAATAGGCGGCAATCTGAGCGTAGTTGCAACAGACGGTCGCCATTGTCTGTTCGATAAGACGCAACACCATAAGATCCACCATCGCTTGGTTTACCTACTTGAGCATCAGAGTCATCCGCTACTATTACTACATCGGAGCGCCTAACGTTTTGGAGGTGTGAAAGCTTTCTATGAAACTCATCTTTCAACTCACCTGTACTGCAATCAGTGGGAGCGTAGGGAGAGACGACCAGGAGGTAACGGCACGTGTCCTTATCTTCCCGACTCCTTACTGTCCCGTTTAGTCAGACAGCGCATAAGCGACTGTCTACTGGGATCCGGTCTAGGAGAACTCGTTCTGCTCTAGAACTTAATGCTATACATACAACAGCAAGACCCTTGCAAGCAGCAGTGGAGCTTCCAGATATACGAAGCGTGTAAGTCGAGATGTTTCTTTATTTTGACAAGGTGTGGTTAGTTGAATGACTCTACTCGGATCCTGTATGTGCGTTTCGGAAACAGCGTACGTCGGTGGCACGAGATTCCAGAGTCCTAGCTAGTGAAGCCTGTTGCCATATTTAGCACGAGGTTCGTACATTGGGAGCTCGAATGCATAATTTATAGAGTAGTTTCAGGAGACCGGGAATAACGTTTCATGTACTCAAATCGTTTGCATTAGCGGCGCTAGGTGATAAGAGAATGCGAAAAGGCTTGGTCATGGATGTAAGAGTGTTATTAGGGGTGTAGGAAGGATTTGATTGTGACCAATTCGGTCTCGTGTGCCGTTACATGTATGAGGGCGGATGTCGATTCCCAGCTGCCCACACTATGGAAGGGTGTTTCTTGAGAGAGCTGAAGACGAATTTGGATTAGTGTTGGTCTTAGAGACCTGAGAGTGGAACCGCAGAGCCCAACGGACAACTGCTTGAGGCCGGTCACACACACGGCCTTTTTATGAGGCTTTAGAGTGTTAGCTGGGCTCTTCAGAAGGCCTTACAGTCGGAGACGGAAATCCAACGGTTGGGTTCGGTTTGATATTCTAGGGTCGAACCCTTCCTTCCGTTGTGAGAAGGCAGCATGGTTGCAGATGCTGGTTGTCCGAGGGAAGCACCTAACTGCTGTTACACCCGTCAACAGTCAGCAGTACGACTTCGCCCTCAGACCTTGAGTTGCTGCCTTTAGTTTTACCGTCCTCCGGTCGACCGGCCTGACATGATGAGACCGAATGGAATATATGTTCCAGTCAATATAGCTCGGTTGGGTCATCACCTCATGTCAGGCTAGCAGTTACGGTGGGGTCTACTGTTTTTATGTTATAATCAGCTGGCGAAAAGCTATAAAATAAACTTGATAATATTATTTTGCTGTGATTTGCGTTTACGCTCTACCGAAATCATTACCGAACCAGTTTATATATAAGAGCACTTACATGAGTGCTTTTGTTTAATAAATGAATTTGTTGACGTTTAAGATGATCTTCTAATTTCCGGAAATCAACCAGCAACAAACCGCATGTAGGACAAGCTGCACGTTTGGCTTGAGTGTGAGTATCCAAATGACATGAAAGATTCTTTAAACGATTAGCCATATATGTACAATTCTCCCACAAACATTTTAATTGTACATTCTCAGGATATCGAGAATCAGTATACTCCTACAAAAGAAAAAGTCCAAATGAGACATGAAATAAATAATAATTAGAAAGATACAAGGATAATAGATTTTTGCTCACTAGGGCGGAAATATTATTCCGCTTATTTTAGGTCGTGTAACAGCTAAACGATACAAATTATTTGCAAATTATGATGATGACAAAAGTTGTAATAATAAATAATCTGAAAACAGTAATCACAGAATTCGTGTCAGTTTTCAGGGATGATCAGATTGATTTACATAGCAATATTAAATGATGAGAGCAGATATGTAAAATGAGAGTGAATTGTTCCAGTTCAAAAATTGTTTAAGTAGTACACTTTTCATATGTATTACGGCAAAGCAAAGCTTTTGTCAGGAACTGTTAATTCTTATTAAAAGAACATCCTGATGATGTATGGACGGTGTATTTAAGGTCATTTCTAGTGCTGTAAAGGATTAATTATAATCATCCACAACTAAAGAAATTAAAACGGGATCAGAGAATGCAACAACGGAAGCAGTAATTACTACGATAGGTCTACTATGACTCAAGTGCTACGTTGTTTTATAGTTTCATGTTCGGGTTAGATATTATTTTAATTAGTCATGTTTCGGCATATTGAACTTATTGACCATCACTGGGCCAATTGATTTAGCTACATGCTTTAAAAGCGTACGAATACAGAAAAGGATTATTTAGAACTCATAAGCAACCGCAAATATCTTTTATACAAGCTAAAAAGACCAAAGAACCTAAGATACTACTTTGCATTATCCCACTTTTGACCAGAACCGCATCCGACAAGGAGTTTATTTTGACTGTTTGGTGACGGTGATTGAATAGAGAATTAAACTAATCAAGAAAACGGTTTCTCATCCAGTAAAAAGTGAGTTTGACTATAGAAAGTTAGTGGTTAACTAAGTCAAAATCTTTAGATATGTCAAAGTATAGAACTAAGATTAAACAGTCTCGATTGCGTTGAGTAAAGACTGAATAGAAACCAAAGTGGCAGGTCCTACGAGGTGGAGTTCTAAGGAAGCCATGTTGAGAAATAGTGATAGGTTTTTCGGTGAGTAAATAGTTGAAAAGTTTGTCACAAACAATCATTCTACTATCCTACGGAAAACTGGATAAATATTTATGAATCAGTAATTGTCTAAATCTGTCATTTCCAAATTTGTAGCTGATATGCTTATCAATCGATATGCTTGAAACTATTACGAGTTCACATTACCCGGTAGATGAGAGCGAAGACAAATGATGCAGTGACACGATAGGGTGTTCTAATCCGTTGTCCCCTGCCCGGCTAATTATATTAAGAAGTCTTGATAAGGCGTAGAAAAGAGTATTCTAAAAGCACCCAGAAAATACGGGGTTGACAAGCACACGAATCGAGCTTAGTTATACATGATAGAAACGTCCTTGGGAGAGCCACAAAAATAGCGTACTAAAATAACACATTAACCACTGACAGTCAAGGATTTTCCGAGTGAGAAGTGTAATCTCAAGATCAACTGAGCTGGTAAACGAGTTGGTGATCTGATAAGATATGTCAATGGCAACCACAAGACTATTACTTGAGAAGGAATCTCAGTCTGAGTATCTTACCAGGTTATGAAAAAGGTCCGGCCTGCAGTTAGTATTTTTGGAATATGAAATAGTTGTTCAAGCAAAACAACGTAAACTTTTGAAAATCATCCAGTTACAGCGATTTGAATCATTCCAAAAAGATTGGGATTGGTAGATAAGGTTTACATACTCATTGACTGACAAGTGTGCATACTACTGTTTACAGGCCATATGGATATTTCATTGCCTATTTCCATTTTTCACTTAAGTTTGGTATACACTTTTTAAACCAACTATGCACCTGCAATTGTAGCTAGGCAATGCTTTACAGTAGTTCTGACGATGTGGTTCGTTTTTTGTAGTCAACTCCAACTTTCCAGCCACCATTTTTTCAAGAGTAAATTGACTGCCACAAAATTCACTATTTCAGATTTATTTCAATTGAGCAATTACGTCTAATAAACACGTGTACATACTTTCATTTCTTGTTTATGACGTTTCGGGAATGCAATTACTTAGGAACTCAAGGAATAGTATCACACTGGGCTTGTGTACTTTACTGCGCCTCTTCGTTTTGGAGATAATAAGAGGTGGTTACAGAATTCATACATCACACATAGTTGGAAAGCTAGAGAGCAAGAATGACTGCAAATATTAATAGGTGGGTATGAATGGCAGCTAATGGCAGTTGAAAAATTTCAATACATATTTTTCACATATTTATAAACTAAATGTTTACAGTAAGCGAATTTCGCTAAATCTTTTTGCTGGGAATTCTTCACAATAATCAAACAAATATTACTAAGTGAGTATTATTACTACTGATCGCAACTAATTCTCACACTGTTGGCACTGTTATTTCGTATGATTTAATTGTTAGTCAATTATTATTGATGTTTTGGACTACTATGGATACACGTAATGCACTAAGCACGGTTTTTACTCGTGGTCCCAAATATTTAAGAAAATATAGACCATAACAAAAATAGGTCATCTGAGACTATCTTGTGAGGATGATAGATGTATTTTACATGGCCAACTGCTAGTTAGAATGACGTACAATAGTGGTTGTCTTAGAAATAGCCTAAAGGAAAGCTACAAGTGATCAAATTAAGACATGACAAAAATCCATGAAGTCTTCGACTATTGCTCTGAGTCATATGGAGTGGATTAGACTGTGGAAGTTACATGATTGGATTTATTCTTGATGCTCTTACAGATTTTGAGTTTCGACATCATTACAGACTCCCTTTTATTCAAATTCACTAATTCTTTCTGAGTTTTTTTTTATAGTGTTTGGTCGTTTTTATTGCTAAGGACACTACTATATAGATGACTTTACTTTATGTACTGTTAATTTAATTTAGTTCTCTATTTTTTATAACTGAGTGACAAGAAGTTAAAATTCTTGAAAAGTAAAATCCTGTTAATCTAAGCTGATTTTCCTGTAGTTACATCAACTCAAATAAATAGACAGTTATGGCCAGTTTGATATAATGAAAATAAAAGTACAATAAATAGATTCAGCCAAGTTATACAAAAAATACAAATAAATATCAGCAAAAAGCATAAGAAATTATGCGGAATAGAAAACTACCTCTGGGTGTTTTGATACGTGAGTAATAAATACAGAAACATCGTTGGTTTTAAAATCACAATATTCCCATCCACATTCGAATTTGGTTGGAAGCTCGGGGATCAAATTACATGATATTGAATCGGACAAACATACAGGCCAATCATTTAGTTCCAGAATATGTTTGCCAATTGTTTTCAGTTGGTTGACCCATGAATGAAAAAACGAATGCCTTTCAATCGCATCACCATCAGTTACATTTAAAGAAGTGTTACATATGCCACAGGTAAAAAAATAAGAACCTTGTGGAGGTTGCTCACATAATTCCTAAAAATACAAATATAGAACAAGTAATAAGTTTTAAACAAAACGATTTTATGGAGATAAATATCAACATATGCTAGATAAAAAAATTAGAATATCAGAAAGATATGAGTATTTCAACGTAAAATCAGGCACACGGTTTTGTCAATTTAGGTCTTCTAAGTTAACATGAATATAATAAAAAGTACAGAAATGATAAAGAATTAAAGTAGGACGGCAAATGAAGACAGAATGTCATATATCTCGGCCTTTGGTTGCACTAAGTTGTAACGAAAACATTTGCATCGCTGACAAAACATTTATAATTATCATTCATTATTCTTACTGATTAGCTTACACTATTATAGACAGCTTGAAGTTACCTAAACGAATACCTTAAATAAAAAAAGTATGAGAAAACTTCAGTCGATTAGACACAAAAAAAAATAATATTCGAAAGTAAAATTTGATAGTTATTAGTGTTGATAAGTTAAACTGGAGAAATACAAAGTTCATCAAATAACTGGATACACAGGGTATGTTTTCTGGTTAATTGATGACCTTCTCAAACAAAACAGCAGTAAAATTATAATTAACAATGACATCTTAGTTAAAGGAAACAAGGGTAATGATATGAATTGAAAATGGTTTTAACTTATATTTTATTTATTTAGCGTACACATACAAAAACTGCAAAAGTTGTAGTTTACTAAACTGTTTTTAGGTATATTGTCTTAGAAAATCAAATGAAATGACGAATAATGGTTGAGTAAGCTCGTTCAGTCAAATAATAATAATAATAATTATACAGCAGCACTTACTTAAAAGACTTACTCTAAAATGTTGCAGCTGATGATATTTGAATAAATCTACGTTATCATACATGATATAGCAGTTTGGCCATTCACAACAATAGGAAAGTTTCATACCAGAAAGCAAGGATTTCCTACCTCTTGGCATAGTTATGCTATATTATGAGAACAAAGAAGTATAAAATGAAGATATCCTTACATGAAGATAAATAACTTTTTATAGTATTGGTTTTATTTTAAAGTACTATAACGCATATAGTACCAACACGTGGCCCTAACATGGAAAAAATGGTATTGCGATCAAAAATCAGTCACCAATTTTTTGACATATGGCTACAAAGAGATTAGCTATCTCCAAATGTATGACGTGTACATTTATCTAAATAATGTACAAATATCTGGCTGTGTATAACGAAATCCTACGAGTCCCAGATCATTTATAATTCAGCAAGTCACTGATGACGTCAACAGCAAAATAGTAGTATTGAAGATAGCGAGAAGGGAAAAGCATAGTTCATATGGCTCAAAAAGAAAAATATTGAAAAACAAAAAAGCTTCAAATATGAAGGAGGATAAAGGGTAAACACAAACGTGCTACCACGACACTTTATTATCGAGCGTCGCATAAACTTCAAGGTGGTCTGCATCTAAAAACACGGCTAGACAAGTGGGTGATGATTTTATTAATTGATGTAGCATTTCGGATTTATTTAGGACAGTTTGTTAGGTTCAGTGAGTAGAAATGGATAATACTTGATTGAATATCCAATCAACGTCGCAACTACCTTGACACGATGGTTGGGCTTGCCCATCGTGATGACCCAACCGAACTATATTAACTGGAACATATGTTCCATTCGGTCTCATCATGTCAGGCAGGTCGACCGGAGGACGGTAAAACTAAAAGCAGCAACTCAAGGTCTGAGGGCGAAGTCGTACTGCTGACTGTTGACGGGTGTAACAGCAGTTAGGTGCTTCCCTCGGACAACCAGCATCTGCAACCATGCTGCCTTCTCACAACGGAAGGAAGGGTTCGACCCTAGAATATCATACCTCACCCAACCATTGGATTTCCGTCTCCGACTGTAAGGCCTTCTGAAGAGCCCAGCTAACACTCTAAAGCCTCATAAAAAGGCCGTGTGTGTGACCGGCCTCAAGCAGTTGTCCGTTGAGCTCTGCGGTTCCACTCTCAGGTCTCTAAGACCAACACTAATCCAAATTCGTCTTCAGCTCCCTCAAGAAACACCCCTCCACAGTGTGGGCAGCTGGGAATCGACATCCGCCCTCATACATGTAACGGCACACGAGACCGAATTGGTCACAATCAAATCCTTCCTACACCCCTAATAACACTCTTACCTCCATGAACAAGCCTTTTCGGATCCCCTCTTCACCTAGCGCCGCTAATGCAAACGATTCGAGTACATGAAATGTTATTCCCGGTCTCCGGAAACTACTCTATAAATTATGTATTAGAGCTCCCAATGTACGAACCTCGTGCTAAATATGGCAACAGGCTTCACTAGCTAGGACTCTGGAATCTCGTGCCACCGACGTACGCTTTCTCCGAAACGCACATACAGGATCCGAGTAGAGTCATTCAACTGACCGCACCTTGTCAAAATAAAGAAACATCTCGATTTACACGCTTCGTATATCTGGAAGCTCCACTGCTGCTTCCCATGGCCTTGCTGTTGTATGTATAGTATTAAGTTCTAGAGCAGAACGAGTTCTCCTAGACCGGATCCCAGTAGACAGTCGCTTATGCGCTGTCTGACTAAACGGGACAGTAAGGAGTCGGGAAGATAAGGACACGTGCCGTTACCTCCTGGTCGTCTCTCCCTACGCTCCCACTGATTGCAGTTCAGGTGAGTTGAAAGATGAGTTTCATAGAAAGCTTTCACACCTCCAAAACGTTAGGCGCTCCGATGTAGTAATAGTAGCGGATGACTCTAATGCTCAAGTAGGTAAACCAAGCGATGGTGGATCTTACGGTGTTGCGTCTTATCGAACAGACAATGGCGACCGTCTGTTGCAACTACGCTCAGATTGCCGCCTGTTTTTGGCGCACACTTTGAGCAAAAGGAAAGACATCTTTTGACATGGTTACCCCTAAAATTGACTCGTCCCTGTCAGTTCCCGATGGAGAGGCTCGGTGGAAGACTGGATTAGGGCTAAATGTGCACCCGAATCCACACGATAGTGAGCCATCAAATAACCCTGATATTATTAATAAAAGAATTTCATACTATAGACTGATGGACTACATATTCATACCGAAAATACGCAACTCACGTCACTCATATGACAAAAATTACCAAATATGTCTTTAAAAATTAACCTAAGGGAAACATAATTATACAATTAATGTGGATTTTCCATTATATGAAGATCTCAAATCTAAATGAAATTTGAGATAAACGGTCTTGCAGCAATGATTTCTTTCAGTAAGGTTTTGTTTATTATTTAAAAAGGACAGTTAGATTTATAGTTTCGATTGCAGTTAAATATCAAAACTACTGTTTTTAAAAATCTTAATTGAGTTAATTTTCAGTTAAAGTAACATAACGAGTAGTTTGAATCTCTGTTTATATCGTCTTTTGGTTTTGTGTTTTCTAGAGGTTAGGACTGATTGGCTAATTTCCTATCCAATCAGCGCCTAATCGACTCTTGGAGAACAGAGTAGAAAATTCTCGTGTTGTTAGCTACACGCTGATTGGCTAAATCTAATACAGTCGATCACGTGAATTACAATCCAGAAGCTTCTCATGAAAATACTATAAAGAATCTAACGTTGTATCTATTTCGCCTTCGGCTTCTTATTTCCATTTAACCTTGTTATTTGGAATATAATCTTTTCCTGTTCCACCGTGTTTTTGATTCTTTGGAACTTGTCCAGTGTATTGTGGTCAGAGAATACTAAGCAATAGGAATTAGCCGGGAATTATCCAAGTAAGAGTTACAACAACTAGATATTCGTTTGCTAACCAAAGGACGAGTCTACTGAGCGTCCTATTTTATGTCGGTGAAAAATGGCCGGATGGAGTTGAGGATATTCGTAGGTTATTAGTATTCGATTACAGGTGTCTTCGAAGCATTGCTCGTGTATCATGGGACAACCGAGTAAGCAATGCTGCCATTAGGAAACGAGTATTAGGTAGGGATGGAAGATAAATAGATGAAGTATTGAAACTTCATCAGTCGAGGTTATTGGGATATGTGTTACGAATGCCCAACTATGTTTTTATGGTGTAGTAGTAGGTTGGAAAAAAGCTAGTGGCGGTCAAACCAACGGCCCATCAAAGAGGTCATGCCATCAATGCTGCTAGGATGCAAAGGGCCTGATATCCGGTACCATTGTAATGGTGAGCGCTACCAAAAGGCATATTAATAAGCTCAATCAAGGTCAAATGATGTTCGCTCTATCGATACACAAATCAATGCGCAATCAGTCCAATCGAATCCGGGGCCGATCGACTTGCATGGGATAAAAGCGAAGAGACCAACTATAACGATTTCTAAGAGGAATGAAAATTCAGGTAAGCGGATTTCTGCAGCAGCCAAGAAAGACCTGAGAAATCTGACCGTAAGGCTAGTATAAAAGCACTCTGATTACCCAGGATCTCACAGTGTGCGCAGCCTAGCGGTGGTCACAATTCTAGTGTAAGATGACGACAGTTTCAAAACCGAAGACTGATCACAGTGATAAGTCAGTCGTCTTTCACAGAGTAAAGAAGGGAGAAAGCTGAAACTTTGCAGACTAGGAAGCCTAACGGACTTACAAGAAAATCAAACCAGGTTGCTAAAATAAGTATTTAAATCTCACGGTGAAATGGACTTGATGCTATAGAATGGACATAAGCTGAAGCGATTAGCTTTTGCCCGCAAAAAAGAATCAAAACTAAGGTTGAATGCGAGAGAGAACCTCAGAATATTTAATGTTCGGGTGGTGAGACTCTGATAGAGAATGATGTCGAAGACACTTTGGGTGCAGCACAAAGTCATTTAAGTGGTCTTCGAGTCTTTTACACAAATGCCCGGATCTAACTCGGTAAGAGATCTCAGCTAAGTGTACAGAGAGACTCCACTAGGCCAGATGTAATTGTCTTAACAGAAACTTGGCTGACCCAGCCTGAAGATAGTAAGGAACTTGATTTTGGAAATTTCCTAACTAAAGCAGACAATCCAGAAGCGTGAACTGGCAACCTTATACACTAAAAATACCATACCATCTAGCGATATTTACAACATCTCCCATGAGAATGAAACGTGTGAATTGGTTAGTTTCCGCTTGAAGTACAAGAGATTAGATGCTGATTGGGTTGGTTTATGAAAACCCAAATTGTGGAGTGCATGAAGTCTTGTTGGACAAGCTTAAAAATTGATCTTTAAGTGGTCGATGTTCCATTTTAAGGGACTATAGTGGATTGTGAAAATATAAGGGCTGAATTGTCATTTCGAATAAAAACTAGTTAACGTGGTTATTATAAGTGCCCTAATGCAACGTGTAAAAAAGCAACTAAGTACGACCAAGACCCCAAGTCATCTTTACTAGCTTTAAAACTAACCTATTGTGAACATGGCGTCCGAAACCTCGATTATCTGCCACCCTAAGGTAAGAGTGGTCATGTAGTTCTTTTTTTTGATTTCTATATCGTAATTAATAACAGTGCCAAACAAAACTCACAAGACATCATAGACTCAGCAAACTAGATAACAGTACTAGAATCTTTTAATGAAGGGGATTGGGACGTATCCAGAAATTTGTACTCAGTTATTTCACAGCAGAATTCTTGGACTATATCAAAGAATCCAGGAAACTCCACAGAGACTCAGTAATGAGGTTCACCTTCCTTTCCGTGAGAGGAAAAGAATGTGGGAGGAGTTTAAGAGAGTCAAGACTGAGAAGATAAAACCCCAATGTCGGGGAGCCCGAAATGTGTGCCTCGGCTCTTCGCAAGTCCAGAAGATTGTATCAAGAGAAGCTAGTTAAGGAGTCTGTATGATACCGAAAACGCCTGTACCCGTACATAAACCAACGGACTAGGAGAAGAGGCAGCATACCAACATTATAGGGACATAGTAGTCCTGTACCATTAGTGGAAGACGACCGTGGTAAAGACAGACAGATACAACGCAGAACTTCGTACGTACGTACATCAGTTCAGGTTGCCATGTCCCATTGTGGTAAAACTCAGGTATTATCAAATTACTTTACCCATGTATATGCCGTAGAGGTGTCTCTCCATCCAGTTAATAGAAACACCTCAATACACACCCTGGACACCACGATCACCAGATGTCCTTCATTCGTTAAATAAGCTTGATCCAGGTAAATTTGTGAGACACGACATACATGCTAGATTACCTAAGGAACTGAAAAATCTCATTGCAACCTCTTTAAGCATATGTTCTGAGCTATCTGAAATCCAAAGTAGATTAGAAAGACTAGAAGAAGCCATAGTAGGTCTTGTCTTCAAAATAAGGGACACGAACCTAACAAATATTGACCCTTAAGCCTAAGTAGCGGGGTTGTGGAAAATTTCAGGAAGAATTATTCGTAAATACCTAGAAGACAAAACCAGACTCTCTCTGAGAAGCTCCTCGGCTTTATAATAGGCTATTCACATCCCAAAAAACTGTTAGTAACCCGAGAAAATTGGTGAGCTTTTAAAGATCAAAAGCTACCTATGGATTTACCCTTTAGTGACTTCAGAAACGCTTTTGACAAATTCCTTCACAATTTGCCTTTGAATAAGTTAAATATCATGATTGAGGGCAACTTAACTGGGGCCGCAGGGCACAGTCGTGGGTTCAAATTTGTTCCACCTGTATGTCAATGACTTTCCCAGTCTCCTATTCTCATCGGTCTTCTTAAGTGCCAACAGTATCAAGACTTGGAGTTAGGTATAAAATGAAGGTGATCGACTACAGCTTCAAAATGACTGGCAAAAACTGTGAGTGGTCCGGAATTTCGCGACGGCCGACAAATGCTTCAAAGCGCATTATGATGCATATTGGTCACCAAGCTACAAATACATACATGATGCGAAACACCAAGCTATAAGGGAAACAAAGGCACAGGCCGACATAGCTCGTCACATATTTTACATCATATGAACAGATTAAGGAATTTTTATAAGAATAAAAAATTAGTTATAACTGATTTTCGAAGTCCTTATTTGTTTCTTGAGTGATATTATTGCGGTTATGAAAACTAAATTAAAGAAGAAATTTTTTCGTGAAGACACGTTATCATTTATAAATGTAATGAAATCATCCTTACCTCGAAATACAAGATAGGACAAGCGGGCACTTCGACCTTGACAAACGAGAATCCGATTTCCCGGCCTTTTTTGATTACCAATATTGTAACGCATTCGAAAGTTTACGCTACTAACTTCTAGTTACAAATATCCGTTTGTACTAAACTCATGCTTGTTTTATTTCTAATTGTTGTCTATTATTTACTCCATTAAGAGTAAGAGCATTTCTTTCTTCAGCACAACGTCTGTTGCACACATTAATAGTTCCTTTGTTTATACCTGAGCCATAGTGACTTGTCAAGGTGACAGCACTTACTGAACTCCTACTCTTCATAAATTTATCAAAACTGCACTGTTTTTGTCATGTGTTTCGTATCCAAATAAAAATTTCTCATTCTATATCAGTGTTTTCTTTCAATCGTCAGTCGTATTAGTTAACCATGCAGTTCAAATAGGGTTTCTATCGACCTGGCCGTACTTTTTAGACTGTTAGTGCTTTGTCGAAGGTCCTACACTTGAGACTAGTTTGAAGACAGCGAGCCTACGTAGCTTGCATATCCGAAGTCAAAATAACAATTATCTATTACCTTCATTTACAGGGTTAGGGAAATCCCAGTCTGCGTTAGGGATGTTTTTTGTTCAAGTTTTTTCAAGTAGATGGAAATTAGATTTTTTGGTCTGTTAAGAAATCGTACACCAGGCTTATAGTGATACCCTTATTACAAACATAGATACAAGTCAATAAATGTACCAGGCGTTTTATGACATAATTAATCAGTAAAATGGGAATTTTCGAGCGTAATGTTATTTGATCAATGAATTAAACAGTAAAAACATAGTCTTATTAATCCAACACTTCATGTTACTCAAGAAATTAATTATCGTTCCAAGGACTAAACCAAGAAACTGTTTTTATGAGCAATCTCGCGACTGAAAGTGATAATTATATGTTTATTCTTAAATAACAGCGTTTCTTAAGAGGCATAACAGTTAGATTGGTAATAGGAGTTTTTTCCTGACGGCAAGCTTACTCTGTGCCACTGGCAGGAACGGTGTGATACATGCACATAACGGACATGCGATTACAAATAGTTTCGGTACACGGCAGAGGTTTCGGGTGGTGTTCTTGATTTAGGAATAATTTATTTTGGAAAGTGTCATTCGGAAGGTGCTTTATTTAAGCTGTAATCTTGAAGAACGCATACATAAGGTTCATTGATGTGTGAGTAATCGTTATCTGCACTTCGGATATGTAAGCCACGTAGGCTCGCTGAAGCTGAAGTTAGTTTTAACCAGAAAGAGACTTTTCATTTATTCCCTAAACAGCAATATTGTTGACGCCAGCTAGTGATGTTTTACACGAATATATTGTCCTTTTTAGACCCTACTAACCAGTTTTCTCAAGGCCACTTCGATGCCTCTACGAAGAATAGTCCCACTTAGTTCAGTAATTGTGTACTGTTCGCTTTCAGTAAAAATTAACTTTAACCTTATGAAATATGATTTATCATCTTCAAGAATGGTGGTAAGCATCGTCACCCATCTGGAAGGCTTTTTCTGTGGGTCTCTCTAGGGCTCTGGCACTCTCTTCGTAATTAACGTGTCCTCGTTGACCTCCCTTTCTTCCTAGCATACATCCAATGTTGTCGGGGTTTGTGAAAAGTCGCAGTCCTCATCGACAGAATTGTGAAAAAACTCAAAACCTCGCTCGATAGTAAAACTTAGAGTGGTGTGCATTACTCAGACCACTCGACCCAAACGCCTACACTAGGCCTTCAACAAAGAAACCAGGACTACTCTCATTCTCAGATTCCTACTCCCAGTAATACCAGTAGACAAAAAAGGAGTAGGCCAAAAAGACATCCTTAAACTCAACCGGGATAGCCTAATGTTCAGGAGGCACACAAAGATAATCGTATTGCCCACTTATAGCCAGTTAAAACCAGCGACTCTTCATAGGAATGTAACTTCTGAAATGTATGGGTTCGTTGACGCTGCAACAGTGAAATACCTAAACAACACCATGAGTTCATATTTCAGAGACCCTTGTCCTTCTGTATCAGAGTCAGGCACGATAAACAGCGGTCAGTACGAGTACATTTTATGAAATTGAAAGGCACCCAAAATCCAACAAACTTCCATGATGGTTAACGGAGTGTATGGGCTGGGTAATGGTAGTTTGGATGGAGCTTACAGATATAATGTGCATCGATGGCGATGACTGTCAGAAAGAGAGGACCTTCAGACCACCATGACAATCAGCTTCTCCGCTTCTGGTAGTAGTGAAATTTTGAAATCGTTCCAGGCATGGTACAGAATGAAGAATGATCTCTTTAGTCACATTAGATGTTACGAGAACCGATCTAGTTCTGTGTGACAACAACAAGGAGGCAAAAATTAAAGCATACTAGTGTCACTCGACCTCGTTGGACAACTCCTGGCACAAGCACAAAGATCATGGTCTCAACCTTCGAATACACCACACAGCAAAACCTTGAACCGGCCAGTCCTCACTGAACTGGCCAACTCGGTTTGAAGAGGTTGTTTACAAATCCAGCAACGACTGCTGCTGCAGAGATGCACCAGGTGTTGAGACATACCATCACGTCCCTCGATAGCAGCGTAAGGGCACTGAGGTGTAAGCTGGGAGAGATGAGGAACATTCGCTCATAGATGGATCTGAAGACCATAATCCTAACTGAAACATAGCTATCTACTGACAATGCAAGCGACAAAGTAAGCTTGCAAGGCATGACACTTCCGACGCGTTCTGCTACACAGTACAGACGGTGTAGTGGCGGAACGCTAAAAAGCTTTTAACAGATCGATGTGACTGAATCATGCTGGAGTGGCTTCACACGTATTTAGAAAAATGCTCGATTGAACGTAATTACTGGACCCTCTGTAATACTGCAACTAACACTACTTTGGTTCGATCAGTTGCTCTTAGCTGGAGATTTCAACACTCCATCCCTAAAACTGAGCAAGTAGGGTTCAAATCCCACAGGTTTATTTCACAAGCGACTTGGGACAACCAATAAAAGTTCCAGACTGACTGAGCATGTATGAAACACCACTAGATAGACTAAGGGTGAAAAACTCTCACACTTGGATGATTTGCTGAAAAATGATTGGCTTCTGGTCGAGGATGTCCATATCCACACACATATAAGAAGTGACGACCATTGAGCATTCACGTTTAACATGGTCATAAAGGAAGTACTCTGGAGAATTAAAAAAGAGTCATACCTTTGCTACACTAGGGGTAGCTACACACGTATGACAGAACAACTTCTTAACGTCCCATTGCCACGGGAGTAGTGGAGGCTACCAGTAGATGACCACTAGCTAACAATGAGAGACATCATTCGAAATGCTGTCCTACGCAATGTGCCCCAGGCATATCTCAGACCTGCAAGGAGAATAACATGGGTAAGGCGAGGCAGTGAGCGCTTGACACAGGCGAAAATGAGGGCTTGAAACAAGTGGAAGGTCTCTCTGGGGAATTCGACCATGGTCCATACTTGGCACTGGGAAACAGATGCATTGCCTGAGTTTGAGGCGCCAGGAGACACTTCCAGACGAGGCTCGCTGCCAAAATTCAGGCAAACCGAAAATATCTGTTTAGGCTTATGACTAAAAAGAGGCACACAAACCAGGGTGTCTGTGGACTCAAGGGCCGAAATAGCAAAGACTCTACCGACCTACAGATGGCTAAGATCTTTAAGACTAACTTCATCTACCAGTTAAACCAGGTACCTACATGTTTAGAGTAAAATTTAAACGTAGTGCTAGCTGATGGCCTTAGGAATATCCGACTTAATCCTGACTTAGCACTAAAACAACTAAAATCCCCGAGTACAGGAAAGTCACCAGGATGTGACAGTATTCACCCTGTAAACTTGTGACAGTGTGCAGAAGCCTGTTCAGGTATTCATGAGAGTCACATTATTTCGCGATTGATTGGAAAACAGCTACTCTTCCGAATTTTAAAGAAGGAGGTAGGAAGGATCCAGCCCGTTACAGTCGCATTACCACCAATACTGTCGTAGCTAATGGAAGAACTAGTGACTGGGCAAATGAAGGATTATTTGGATAAGAACAAAATCTTTCAGTAAGCTCAACGTGAGCTTAGAAAAAGCAGGTCCTGGACATCCAATCTTCTCATAGCATGGAATAGTTCTGGAGGTCCATTAGAAGTGAAGAGGATTCAGGTAAGCTTCACAAAGACCTTACACCTATTGAGAAACGTGCGATGAAAAATGGTTTAAAACTAAACCAATCGAAATTTTACATTACGAACAGTCTGCCCAACGTGAAAAAACGACCTACACCCCTAATGATTCTACAGTACGTGATCTCGGTTCGATAACCACAGAAATCTTAGAAACCAGTTCGAACTACGTAAGGGACGCAGTCAAAGTTGACTCAACTTTTCGCTTTATGCGAGCACATCTTTGTGCATTCGCCTCACAACTGTTCTGAACCCTCACCAACGCATACGCATCTCCTTATAAGAGATATAGATCTCCTGAATCGAATCATCCCAACATGAACATTTTGCTGAATCGTCATCACCATGCCCCTTGAAGCATAAATTCATGAAATAAATAGCAACTGGACTTAGCCATGTTAATAGGTGTAGGAAACCTGGTTGGGGTCTGCGGGACCATTGTAACCAATAATTAGAGACTTTGAATGACACAGATCAAAATCGTTTGTAATGGCACAGGCTCCTCCCCTCTCTGTGCTCTCTCAAATTCTAATCTTCTAAATTCCTCGTGACCTTAATTGCTTTCTTCTTAAACGTATTTCACTGGATTATACTACTTGAATGGTATCTTCGAACTCTGGTCTTTCCAGTTACTGCTTACAATTCTGCCACATCTATTACAGTGGGATTATGATCGACAATTGCATCTCTTTGCTAATGTGTTATGGCAACTAGAACTGATGCGCGTATGTACCGTTCTATGTTTTAGCTCACTGACTGACTTCCTCTTGGACCAGCTATCCGTGACGCATGTCTCGAAACTTGCTAGACTTTATTATTTCCATATTCTCAGATCACTTACTCATTCTATCTCGCTTACCGTCTCTGCTTCCTCTTGCTTACTTGCACTTTTATCCTCTCATACAGCCTTTGCTGCTTATTATTAGACCAAGTTATCCATTTATTTACTGAGTTCTGAAGTCTCCACATTACAACTAACTAATCTCTGACCTGGTAATGTGGTAGCTTCTGATATCCAAAACCCCTACTACCGTGAAGCGAACGCACTCACGCAAATCACGGGACACACAAATTCATAAATACCTACCAAATAACTAGAA